GATCAATCGATCTTATTTACTGGGTGTAAGCCACAAATATGTTAAAATAATTAAAATTTCTCCCAGGAAGCATTTATAAGAAAAAAGTTGGGGGTAAGAATAACGATTTTTTTTTTTTCTTCCCGGTTTATTTAAAAAAAAAAAAATCTGTTTACAGCAAAACTATCAGAAACATGGATTCTTCCATTTTCGGCCTTGGAATATAATGGATTATGCTATTGGTTTTGGCATCCCTTTCAATGACCACTGGATAGGATTGGATCGAATCCTTGACTTGGGACCCTTTCCTGTTCGACTGAGGATGGACATGACTTTGACCAAGGTATACAATTCAAGAGACGACCTAACTGTGTTTGCTTCGTATGACTTCTTTTTAGCGAATGCTAGCCAAGGGTAAGTTTTAATTTTTAATCTTAAAAAAGTAGTTATAGCGTTTCCAGACTTATATGCCTATAGTTTTTCTCAAAAATGTTGATATTTTAATTGGTATGACTCTGTACTCGTGTTCTGTTCATTCTGAAAAAAAATCTTGCTGTATAATCATTGTCGCCAAATTTCGATTGGATGAAAGGTAATTCTGATCAGATACTACAGTCTTATCTTTATCTATTATTAAATTAATTAAAGTATTATTTATTTATGTCTTATTTATTTATGTTTTATTTATTCATGTATTTAATCCATCAGTTTTATTCATCTTAATTATTTATCTTTATTTTATTTATCGATGTAATTATATATCATTTTGTTTAATGAAGCTATCGGGGAAACTTCACTTCTTTCATTGGAACTGCGGGCGATGCAATGAATGCGGCACAATGTCCACAATCGGGTCAGCCCTTCACTTTATATCATAGACGACAAGGCTGGTGGTTCGCGGCACTTGAACATGACTGTTGGCACTATACGTTGAACGGCTGCAGTATGGTACCAGCCTGTCCCGGATTGCTTTCCAGGTGGATATCCGCGGATGGAGATGTATTTTATGTAACCGAAGCTGAAATGAAGATAAGGAAGCTCTAAGAACGAATACGAAGTTAATAAGTTGGTAAAATGTTTGGTTTCAAACACAATCAAATGTATTGGCATTTCAATTAATTGAGATGTTTGAATAAAGAAATTGCTTCAGCGTACAATTTTACTTCAATGAACAGCACTCGTAGCGGTGCGGGATTAATCATGTTTATAAATGGGAAATGCATAGGGCCTACTGAAATGTGTAGAATAGATTGTTTTATGTCTGATTATGTCACATGCGCAAAAGGGAAAACTGCTTAAAAAAAGGAAATGAAGCAATGGTATATTGAAATATACAGGTAATATACGAGAATATACAGTAGGTCTGCGGGTGCACCATGTGAGAGAGAGGGAGGATTGAGGAATCCTGAAAAGGAATCTCGGTAATCTTCCTTGAGGGTTTGTAGTCCTGAAAAGGATTGTTAGTATAGTCACTCCTGATGACGGATAGTCAACCTGTTCGAAACGTCGAGCCACTCCCGCCACTCATCCTCTCCAAGCGCTATATAGTTCTCCACCTGCAAGCTATCTACATCACCATGCAAGCCGACACTTACAAGCAGCAATATACGGTATGGTTATAACTTAAAAATGTTCGGTTATATACGACAATCATTCTGAGCCAATGTAGATTGTATTTTTCCACCAAAGCAAAGTTGTTGAACTGAGGACAATATGATATCACTGTACCTTTCAACATTCTCATTTTAGCAGGACAAGATTGGTTGGGGGTTCACTGTCAGATTTATTTTGGTAAAACTTGGAACCATAGCTGCTCCGAATTGGCGTTTTTCCTCTTCTAATATGCCACACTAAGGAATGTTTTGTCCAATTTTCATTAAAATTAAGCATAATCTTAAACCATAATATTAACCAATTTCAGTTGGGTATACATTTCTAAATGTTCGTAGGATGCACAACTATCCGTTCGGATTTGTGTAAAAACCAAGAGTGGGAGGGTAACCCCCCCCCCCCCCCCCTGTTCCTGGATGAACATTACATTCCGTTGAAGTCATGTGTATAAGGTTTTATTTGAATTGTAAATAGTGTCTATCTTTTCGATAAATCATTTTATCTTATGATCAAATATATTTGTATAATGCCTCAATTTGCTGAATCGCGTCACAATATTTGTGAATGTTCCACTATTAAAACTGCACGTTGTTTTACCCACTTTATGATTATCTATAATGCAGTTCACTTTAATATGCAAATCTATTTATCGTGGATATTCCCCGTTCTTTGATCTTATTTTTCACTATTTTATACTCCCTTTATTCTTGTCTTCCCTCTCCCCCTCTCTTCTTCTATTCGTATCTGTTTACTCTTTATTGTTTATAAGATGCATGATTTCTCTATTCCTTGAATGTCAGGAGTGACATCACAATTATCATTTTTCCCCTTTTTTCCTTATAAACTAATACTTTTACTGTGTATCACCATGCGTGTACATGCAAGTTTATTGCCTATTGGTGTATTGCCAATTCTTTACTTACTTGTATGCTCTTTAATACGTTGTTGACATATATTGTACCTATCCTCTAATAACTTTGATTTTATTGTTCTTCAGTGTAATATAATCATATTACTTTACCTCGTGCAACATCTTTTTGATAATCCTTGTACTTTTAGGATGTTACAATCCGTGCTATTTCATGTTACTCTTGCTTTGTGTGAAACCACTTTTCCTTCCTCTTCTCTTTGGTTCTCATCTTTTTCTTTTTCTTTCTCTTTTCTTACCTCTTTCCTCTGCTAATATCACCTTCCCCCTTTTTTCTTTCTTCTTTCTTCACACAATACATAATTTGCCCCCTTTTTTGTATACATGTACTTTGGTGCTTTGATAGTAACAGTGAATGTGACTTCTCTTTTTTTTTCTTTTTTTTTTCTTCTTTTTTTTAAAATCTACATTTAATCCTTTTGAGTTACAAAATTATTTGCCTTGAACTTGGATGTGTTGTGGGATTGGCATAACTTTACTCTTTTGACTTTAACGAATTTTCAAAATGACGTTGATGTATTATATATTCAAACAGTTTTTTTTTTAAATCTTTTATTTTTACTTTTTAAATCATATTTCAACTTGAGGTGCACTTGGCAGAGGCTCGCTTTTCTTTTTTCCGGTTTTGATGAAAACATTCTTCAAGACTGTACGATTCTCCTCTCTTTATGTTTTTCTTGTTCTATTCTGTCCTTCTCTACCCCTCTCCTCCAATCTTTCGTATATTCTCTGATCAAATTTTCTTTCTTTTTTCTTCTTCCTTCTATTCCTCTTTCTTGTTCCGTCTTTCTCTCCCTCTCTCTATCTCTCTTCTTTTTTGATGACACAGAATGTTTTTAATGTTTTTTAATATTTGTAATATATTTAAATTTTGATGTAATATTTGTAATATATTTAGATTTTGATGTAATGTTTGTAATATATTTAGATTTTGATGTAATATTTGATATTCATTTTGTTTCATTATGCATGATTTATAGCAGTACGTTTAAGTCATTCATATTTTGATCGTTTATTGTGTTGTATATCGACTTTGTAAATTGAATAATTTCAGCTTCCCAGCTGCATGTTCTTTTATTTCAATAAACCGTATCAAATCAAATCAAATCAAATTTATAGTAGGCTTTAAATAGGAAATATCTTGATGTTCGTGAACATAACTATTTTCATTTATACTTTATATTTTCGAGTGTATACGACATATCATTATCCCAACTCCAAATTGAAATGATTTACCTTGGGTTAATTTTTTCATTACATGAATTTCTTTTCTGACTTTATCTTCATCGTACAAAGTTAATTTCAATAGCGATGGGCCATTCGCCCCCGTGAGCCACATAATCGCTTCCGTCTGCTCATAGGGCGATTGCAAAATAAAAAATCGCCCCCGTGGAATTATAAAATAAAGATTATCTTTTGTTTTGTAACTTTCACACAATATTGAGTTTCAACTTTTAAACCAATGAAATGGAACTATGGAAGTTAGATTAGCGTGCAGGATTTCTTGCTCGAATGAGGAGGAATGTGCAGAACGGGAAAAAATGGAGAGAATGTCATCACTGGATGAAACCCTTATGTAACTTGTAAAGTTGTAAAAAGGGAAAATGCCGACTTAAATGATAGTGATGAAGTAGCAAAGAATTTTGGAGTATCATGGTACCAATTCAATGGAAATTTGTATTAAAAAAGAACCTCCTTCTGTACTAAAAGCCCCCATGAGAAGGCTCATGGGGGGGGGGGGTCTTTTTTTTAAAGAGCCCACGTGGACAAAAAATTAATTTGAGCTCTGTCCATCACCTTTTGAAATATGCACACATGACACTGGCATGTTACGTAATCTGAACATGATTTGTATAGGATATAAATTGTATAAAAGGGTTGATATTGCCCTGCAGTTAATTCCTCGTAAACGTCTTGCGATCATGGTTGACTTGTAATTCAAGTCAATTTAATCAATTTCCTACCCAGACAAATGAAATGGCACAAGTTGCAAAACTCAACAATTTTTTCTACATTGCTACATAATATCATATGCTACAATTTCATTAATTCTATTTTGTGTGTGTAATTTTATCAATTTTGTAAAAGGTTTCGATGAAGATATTAACAAATTGTTTCGAATCCTGACAGTTTCAGAATGTTGTTAATGACTTTCATCATCCCTCTGTCTTGTTTTACAGTTAAAAAAAAAAACTTCAACAAGTAAAGTACTGTTCTACGCTCTGTATGTTTGCATCTGTGTATAATGGGAGGGACGTACACAGAGAGAGAGCGGAAAAAAGAAAAAGAAAATAAAAAGCCATTATTTTGTTCAGGTCTTTGCTGGATATGTAGAGACGTCACTCTGCTTGATAATCGCATAAGTGAGGGAGGGAGGGACACAGAGAGGGAGAGAGGGGGAGTGGGAGAGAGAGAGGGGGAGGGGGGAGAGAGAGGGGGGCAGCATCATGTACATCAACTGCAAGAAATACTCATTTATATCTTTTTCATGGCTGAATAAAAGATTTATTTCTCCAAATTCCATACCAGGGAGAGGATAAAGTCAATGTGTAAAAGGCAACAGTTTAATGCGAAGCTAACTTGCCAAGTTAATTTGTGATTCATCTCTCTCCTTTGTCTCAAATTTCAAATATTGAAAATCCAACTTCACAACCATACACTGGAACTAATGACATAAATATATATCTATATTTCATTTGTATCTACATCAAAATGAACTGCAGTCTCTTTTATTTGCTGGTGTCGGCAACTAGGGGGAAAAATTCAAAACATATTCTGAAAGCATTTGAATGAAAGGAAAGTTGTCAACAGGCAACTGATTAATCTGACAAAATTACCTTAAGGAAATTAAGGTATGAATGAAAATCTTAATAATTTACATACTAAAGTTCATACACATTGGACATGTGTTTTTACCTTTTGATAGTTTTTGAATATTTTGTTAAATGTGACGCATATCCTCCATTGACCCAAAGGGTTATACAGAGACATCATCATGGTCAATGATTTGGTGAACTAGCACTCTTCTTCATGAAGCTAGGATGTCTAAGACAAATTTGAAAATAAGTCTTCATTAATCAGCTTTGAAAGTATAAATAAATATCAGGGTTCATCATGTCAAGGTTCATGTATATGTCAGGGTCATCAATCTTGATGGACATTTTTTTTCTTCATTTAAAACTCAATTTTTTAAATAAATGTTTTGAACTAAGTTAACATGAATAGAAGCATATCTCTGATTTTGAGCATAAGATATTCACAATTCGTAAATGACAATTTCATCAATGTCCACAAAAAAAAACTCTTTAAATTCATCATTATAAACATGTGATTTCTTTGCGAATGCAGGCATTCCGGAACAAATACCATAGGGATTGTTCTACCCTACAAGGTTGGATTAACAAAATCAGAATATCAACTTATCAAGGTACTCTACTTTGATCTGTTCCAACTTTTACACTGTGAATTACTTTAACAGCACAGTCAAATTTACAGTGTGGCTATTCATGTATAAATAAACAAACAGGAATTACATTTAATTACACGATACAGTACCACAAAACTTGCGGCAGGTTCATTATGAATATTCCAAGCGGGACTGCACTACTTGTAGCTACTTGCGCCCTCTACATAGCAAACAATGCCTAAGCGGTACCCGTTGGTCCCCCATGGTCCTCTTTTTCTTATTATAATTGAGAACTGATTTGATGAGATAACCACCCATCAGTGACCACGCAGAGAGGTCTAATCCCTCCTGGCCAAACTAGTGCAGATAGGCTTTAAACAATATAGAGTAAACAACTGAATATTGAGAAAAAAATATGAAATTACCATGTGACACTGCCAGATAACAAGTCACTGGCACTAAGAGCCAAAGAGGGTTTGAGTCCTTTCATTTTATCAGCCTTTCATAAAACCATTCCATCAGTGGCAGTGCTATGGCACATCACCAATATCTGCCCTAGTCAGACGATAAGGTTTTCAACTTTATAATGAAAACAGCTTTTCCTGACTATCGGTCCAATACAGTTTGTAGATCTACTATCCATATAGAGCACCTTGTTCTGGCGAAGAGGCTGGTCCAAACATACAAAATTTCAAATCTGATAACCCATCAGATTCATGCAATGCACAATGCACCATATGTGCTCCATTTCCATTTCTCTAGTCTTATTCCCATAATCTGCAACCATAATTCATTGAGATTGGCTGCTAGTACTGGTATCCATTAAATTCCTTATTTAATTCCTGGGTAGAGAGAGGTAAATGTAGAATAATGAGGTATTCTATCCAATCGCATAATAGCTGCAGCTTTGAATTGTACCTATGACCAGCTGATACGTACTCCTCTAGACCATGAAATTCTCTACACATTCTTTCTAAACCTGTCTTCATATAATCCAATTCTACAATCAGTTCTAATAATAGGATGCTCAACCACCAACACAGGTTGATTTTTTGGAAAGGAACAATGCTTGTGATAAAACACGTTCATATCATGCAAAGGAGAGTATTCAAACTTAAATAAGGTATAATTGAAAAGATAGTCAAGGAAGCATAAAACCAATTGCACAATTTGAAAGGACAAATTCACACTTCTATTCAAAATTATAATTTTCAGATAAAAAAGAGAGACAGGGGTAATAAGAAGTAGTTAGGTTCAATTACTATCCACTCTAAATAAAAACATAACTTAACACTTGAAACAATGTTTGAATAACATACACACATAAATTTCAGACAATAATAAAGTAGGTGAAAATCAAATGGAAGAAACAATCATAAAATTAATTAGAGTATATAAATATGATGAAAAACAAAAAGTAAATGACTATTGTCAGTATATTAAATGAAAAAGAAACAGAATTCAATTTTCCCATTTACAAAACTTTCTGATAAGTTGGGGATACATATCTTAATGAGGCTTAATGTTAGCTAAATTTTATTTATATATGTAAAAAACAAAAATCACTAAATATTATGTCTTAAGCTTTCCGTGGGCGTCTTTTTGTGCTATTACATTTCGCTAAGGTACCTAAGGAGCTTTACAGAGATAAGGACTCCAAATTGACATATCGCACATGAAAATCAGGCTTTATACCAGTGATGTAGTCCAAACTACTCTGTCTAGAGAAAGACATTTAATGCTAAATGAAAGTAACCAAAAGAGATCTTGGTCTTGGACGCCAGGTATCTACTACATCATCCCTCTAAACTGCTCCCATTGTGTTAGGCAAAAATGATGTTCATTTGAATTGAACCACTTTAAAACTCACATTAAAAGGCAGATTAAAAACATCACCCTAATATAATTACTGAAAAGGTCAAGAATTTGTTTCTACTAAAAAATGTGAACAAGATCAAATAAGAACACAATTATTGCATTTCAGGATCAAGCTGGATTTGATATGGAGGAAGTATGGCTAGATGGATGTCTGCGTTACCACAGTGAGATGTTAGTCCACTTTGTGAAACGGTAGCATCCCCAAGCTAGGAGACCAACCATTGACAATCGGAAGCTCCATGTCAACAGACGTCCTGCCAGTGATGGACTTGGAATACTGCCGTGTAAAAGATGAAACAAAGAAAAATGGAGATTAAGAATATCTTCATTCATAAAAATGAAACCTTCCAATTTTGGGGGGGGGGGGGGGGTAATATATGTGTCAGCTTCAGGTTTTTAACAGAACTATTTGTATTGACTGGCAAGCTTTCATCAACTCCTCTAGACTTATTAAAGTTGATTTATTTTTACATATTTTTGCTGGATATATGAAGAAGTCACTTGATAATGTCCACTGGACATATAGTAAGGTTGGTAGCACCATGAGCCAAACATGTACCAAAATCTTCATTTTTTATTCATTAAAGGCCTTGTACTACGAATAACTAAGCATATCTATTATTACTTTACTGAAATGTGAATTACAATTTTATAAAATTCATACTTGTGTACAACTGTACATATAATTATGGATTAAGAATCCCTAAATTTGTCTTCAGTGATTTTGTTCATCAAAGAGATAATTTGTTACTCATTGTCAGCCCTCCTTTCTACTTTTAGTACAGCACTAATGTCTAATCCAATGGAGGTTATCAAGCAGAGTGACGTCTCTACATATCCAGCAAAGATCTTTAAAAAAAAGATTGAATTTAGTAAGCCTATAGGAGAGGTGTTGTACTCGAGTGGTTTAAGCACCTGACTTGAAATGCAAAAGTCATGGCTTCGATCCCTGACATGGCACTTATGTCCTTTGGCAAGGCATCAATCAACATGTGCCACTCTATACCCAGGAGAGAAATGGGGACCCTGTGGGATGACAATAGCCTTTGTGTTAGTAATAGCCATATGCCCACACAGTGACAATATGGTAGGAATATTCCCCAGGGAGTGGAGATGATGCACATGGTGCGTGAATGAATCTGATGAAGGGGGGGGGGGAACAATATCTGTAAAGTGCTTAGAGATGGTATTTCTAATAAGCACTTTACAAATCCAGATTATTATCATTTTTTGGTACAATCAAGCTGAGTAGAAAGATCATAATAGAAGCCAACATACATAAAGCATAACAAACATGTGCTCTCAGAATAATAATAGCACATGAATGGCATCTTACCTTGTGATTTCTAAGAGATGTTCCTTTGAAACTGGTTTATCCCACATGTCAACCATTCCTTTGACATGGCCCATGCCAACAACACCAACCACTATAGGAGCTGGATACACAAAGCCTAAAATCAAAAGAAAAACAAAGGGAATATATATATTTAGTCTATTTCAGCTGGTACCACAAAATGCAAATGTAATTTATGGTGTAGTCTTAGGTTTGGTACTGATAAAGTTTTGTCAGACAAAGATTGCACATGGCATTATAATAATTCTCATTCACTTTCATCATAAAAGGCAGTTTGTCAACAGATGTCTAGGGTAGAGACATTTATTAAAGACCGTCAATACTACTGGGCCAGAAGGGATTAGACCACACAGCAAGGTCACTGACAGGTGGCTATCTCATTAACTCAGCTCTCAACTAACATAAGAAAAAGAGGATCATGGGGGACCAACAGGCACCGACTGGGGAAGTTTTCTATATAGAGGGAGCAAGTAACTACAAGTAGGACAGTGGGGCTTTAAAGGCAACCAGTCACCACAAAAAATAATTTGTGTACAGCTAGTAAGTATAAAATCAACCCCCAAAACTCTACCCAGATGGAAGCGAAGTCCAGCTTGGGTTCTGTGCCTACCCTTTTCTATGCAAATGTTTATGGGTGCATTGAATATACTACCGCACTAGGCAGTTTTACGTTTAATTAAAGCAAATCTTTACTTGCGATATTTCTCTATAGAAGTTACATTAGATTTCATCTTATAAAGTAGGGTGGAGCCCTGATATGAAGAGCAAACTATTTGTAGTGATAAGACCTCTTGAAATAATTAAGTTCATTATTTGATTGATCTGAAATCTGGTCTTACCATCATCTCTAGGTGCTTGCGGCTGGGAGCATGCCTTGAGAGACTGGGAGAGATATGTATCTCTCTCACTAACAAACACTCTACTCAGAGCAGGGAAATCCCCTGTCATCTCCCCAAGCATTTCCTCCAGTAAGTCCTTCTGCTTGAACTTCTCCACCTCTTCCTTCCTGTTGTGAATTATGATAGCAACATGATGAGTTCCTCATGTAAAACATGACTATCATACATGAACATATACATGAACATATACATGTTGATTGAGTAATAGGATGGGAGGTTGTGTCTCGACAGGTAACATAACTAAAGCTTTTATTGTAAACTACTGGTAAATGTAATTCAGTTCTTGGGCTTTCATTTTCAGTACTCTCAATAAACCGTTTAATTCAATAAAGAGGTCCAATTCATCTCTTCTAATCCATATTTCTAATCAATTGATGTAGCTCAATATCAACAAAAATTACTATCACCCCAATTAATGATTTCATTATACATCTGCATATCAATGCAAAAAGTCAGCAAGAAAAGAGGTTTAGATTGAATGAGCTGGAACTAAGGAAGTTATTTGAAATAAATAAAATATATAACATGATTCGCATAATAAATCCCTCTGTAGGACATTTTTGTTTTTGCACCATACTTGTGATGCTAACATAAAAACAAATTAAAATAGGTCACTTGATTATATCCATATATGTACATGTAGGCTATGCTTGTGATACCGCTCTGTACCAATCTATGAATATTGAACACCCCTCATACATCTATTTCCTCTTTGTGACTTCCTGTCCTACTATTGCCCTATGTCATACCCACTTCCACTATATATGTACCGGTATCTATCAATTTTCTTTGTTGTACATGTAGCTGTGAGACTTTTGTCATCTGTTTATCTACACAATTAGGTGTTGTTTGTTGGCATTGCACACCAAAGACAAAGATCAATTTAAGTTGGACTTGAAATATGGCAGGCCGCTAGTTCCTCTAACCAATCCTGGCATTGCTTTCTCAATGGACGTACAAATCTAAAGAATTTAGTATGGTAGTAGTAATAGTGGTGGTGGTGGTAATGGTGGTGGTGGTGGGGGTGGTAATCATGGTGGTGGTAGAAGAAGTATGAGAAATACAAATTAAGTTACATCTAAAATTTGATGATTTATTATTTATTCAAAAGTAATAGTCCAAGATATTTATTCTCACGTGATGGGTTCTTTACTGGTGATGAGATACCATGCTAATTTGAGTTTCTGCCATGGTGATAGTGAAGCCATTGCTCTCTTCAGCGTGATCTGAATGGGTCGATCTCCAAGATGTAGCTTACAACCAGGCACTGTCTGAGCCTGTAACATAAATTAATACATACAGATCGTATTCATCTCATTCTTTGCTTAATCTCCCTAATACAAATACCAAAATAACTTGTGCAAAGGCGTGTTATATACCAAAATGAAGCGTATGCAACCAGCCCCCAAAAGATATTCCTAACTACAGTGTATAACAAAACCCTTGTTATATAAGTGCTCAAAATAATAGAAAACAAAGAGCTGGGACTGGAAACATTACCTTGTTATCATAAGTGTTTGTTAAAACAATGTTTTAACAAAGGTTACAACTCTTCTAAATTTATTTTTCATAATAGCAAATTGGGGATACTTGTAATGTGTCCCATTTGACATTAATTCCCCCCCCCCCCCTCCAAAAAAGGAAAGAAATCTCCTGATAAGACCACTGACTGATGGATATTTATGATATCACAAACATTATAAATGGTCACATCATCTTTTATTTTAATTTTTTGGATGAAATACAAGGAAAAAAGACATGTGTTGTTTGTGATACATTGCATGGAATTGCCCCCCCCCCAAAAAAAAATAAATAAATAAATAAATAAATAAATAAAAATAAATAAATAAATTCAAAAAAAATATATATATACATGTATACCAGTATATATATTTAAAAAATTAATAGATTTCTCTCCATATGTACTTTATTTGTTTCAAAATAATGAACAAGCAATAACAATGTGTTTCCATACATTGAGCACAGAATTTGAACAAGGATATGTACCTCTCTGACAGCTGTCCTGAACTCTCCGCCCGGTGCCATACCAAGTTCTTTGGTCAGATGTGCTGAGAGATTGAGGAGTAGAGCTTGCATGATGCCTCCTACTACACCACTCTACAAGACATAGAGAACATATGACAATGATCAATACAAACAGTTTAAAGGAACTCATTCTACCAAATCACTTGGAATTGCATGGGGAACAAGAGAATAACATTTCAGGTGTTGGATATTTCTTTACGATGAGTATGCATAAAGTATTCCCTTGCCTATAGGAACCGAGTGGCTCCTGTATTAAAGCCTATGGGAATGAGAGAATACAGTAAACAGCAGTCCACATGCAGGGCGCAAAAGGTAATGAAGGCATTCGATATCCTCTACACATATTTCATATATATATATACTTATGTATATGTGTCACTTGTTCAAAATGTGTATCTAGACAACCCCTTATAAAAAATTTAGAAAAAGAAATCTTTGCAGGGAGAATTGGCATTAGTGCACTTTACTGACACATTAACTGATCATGTATTTTACACAAACTAATCTAAAAAAAATTGGCACTATGATAGAAAGGAAAATTTGCCTATTTCCATGAATTAAAAAACAAACATTTCAAGGCTTTTAGATACATACATGTACTGTACATTGTAGTAGGCCTTATATATCTCAAGCTTATATTCATCCCCACACAAGTAATCATTCAACACTAGTTCCACTGATAAAAATAGTCATCTCATATTTCTTTGTGAATCCTTGCCTTTAAAAAAAAAAAACATGCTGGTACATAGAGGTAGTCTCCATATGTTCATGGAGCTACATCATAACCATATAACAATTCTACTTACGATTTGGGAATATATAACATAAATTATTTGATAACTGGCAGAAGCAATGAGATGATGATGTGAGTTTGTATAATTGCATTTAATATTTAATTCAATATAATCCATTGCGACTATCAGTTAAATACATTGGCGTCAATAAATCAAAGCACCAAAATTTTGCTAAAAAGTGATAAAAGAAGGCTTTGTTTATTGTGGCTGTTGTTGATGGATTTGACATTGATACATAGTTCATAAAGTCATTTTAAACTTTTACTGAACTTGAATCACACATAATTGCTACATGTAAAAAAATGTGTACAGAAAACAGATATACTGGTATGTTAAATCATATTTTCTTATTTCATCTAGAGTAAGCTGTTATTCCAGATTTAATTTCTTTCTTTCTTCCTTACATAATTAGATAATACTTGTTGTCATTATCAGTCAATAAATCATTACAGTTAAAGTGCCCAAGTTGTACCAAAGGTTTTGGCTAAATAATATCTACAGGCAGCCTACATATTAGTTTACACATTTCACAATTCATTGAAATGTATTAATATAATTTCTACACAAAAGGAATACACTGAAGCAATAATCAGTAAAAATGCAGCATAAAAGAATATACAAGTTTACATGGTGCAACATCCGCTTCTCTTTCTCCTTCCCCTTAAAAATACAAGGAATGAAAGCCTGACAGTCATTTAATAACTTATAAACAAAAAGCTTTTTATCTTAAATGACAGAACTTACCTGTTTGATTGATTGTCTGAGTTTAGCCATGTTGAAATTTTTAGCTTCTTCTAGTAGTGTTTCTTCATCAAGCTCCAGAATGGAGAGCCGTCCCCTGCAGAGTTCTAATAAAACGATATCAGGCTGAACAGCTTGAATCGTCTGGAATAATAATAATGAAACAAAATTATTATACAAAGTAAATAAATAAAGAACAAGTCATAATTTATCAATCTCATTATTCCTGTCTAATAGTACATTAATTGATAGGACGTGGCAAATCTTTTGGTTCAAAATCCATTAGCTGGTTAATTTATTTCAATTGTCAAACTTGGCTTAAAATGAACAGTTTATTAATAGAGATGTTTTTTTTGTTGTTGTAATATTGGATCTATGATCTAAGTGTGTAAACAGGTATTTTATTTTTTGTACTTTTACATTTTGGGGAAAAGCTTTTTACAGAAGTGAATTAAAGGCGACACAACTCTTTTGTAGCACTACGTACATTGTACATCAATTAGTGTACCCTTCTCCGGACCTGCCAATTGCCCCTTGGATATTCAAAAGGTGTATTTTACATTTTGCAGGATTCTCTAGTCATTCAAATGAAAATGATTAAATGATACTTTTCCACTTACTATAGATATGTCCATTTCACATTAAAAAAGCGAAACATAATGAACCCATTATGACTTAAATGAAAGCTGTGGATTTCTTTCCATACCATCTTTCTTGCTTCACTGCAAGAGCCCTAAGAAGTGTATCTTATTCACCTTTATATCTTACATAAAATACTTTACTTTATAACAAGATCTTGTCTGAAAACTAAATGCCCCTGGTGATTTTTATTTTGCAGAACACTGTTCATCAATGCAAGAAGAAAACAAATAATTACATGTATATAAACCCCTTTCATGAAATACATTTGTGATACATGCATATGTACTTGTAAACTTGGTGGCAAGGTAAGAATTAGATAGACTCTACAAACCTTTGCAACATCATTCTGGCTATTTTCACTGAAGTGAGCAGTCCCAACAATGTATATTTGAGCTCCATGTTCAGTAGTCATCTTTGTAACAGTGTCTGGAAGTTCATCAGGTTTATGTTCCTGCCTACACAAGGCCCTCATCCTGAGTAACTCGACCTCATCCATTGTTTCTTCAACATCTGACTCCTGACCGCTGCTCAGGTCATACTCTCCATCCGATAACCCTTCTTTATCCTTGTACCTTCCCTCATCATCATCTTCCTTGTCCGTGTTGATGTGATAGCTCCCAAGTTCGCTCTCGCTGTCGTCGCAGTGGTCCTGGTTCCCCAACTGATCCAGAATGTCATTCTGAACGTCTCTCTGGTCTCCACCAGCACCAGGACCCCCTTCCACTCGTACCCCATCCACACTGTTAATCTTCCGATACGTCCCCTGCTCAAGTAATGCGTCATCGTCCTCTATGTCTGCCGTGTTTGGAGAGTAGCTTCCGGTGTCACTCATGCTGTCCCCCTGACTTTCCTTATCACTGTTCATCTGGTAGCTCCCTTCATGTGCCCCACCCTCCCCATCACTGGCATCTAAGCTGTCATCATTGTAGTCTTCCTCTGCTTTAATAATTTTACTTGGGACAGCAGCACTTGAACCATTTGGAACGGTCACTTCATGACTTCCTGTAAAAAAAATTGAAAAAAAGAAAATTCATTGATTTCTTTGATAAAGGGATGATAACATGTTCCCCATGCACAGTAACAGTTTAAAATAGGGCTAATCTTGAAAAAAAGACTCTTAAACTCATCATACAGTCAATCTAGTATTGAAGTGGAGAATAAAAAATGCATCGGATATGAATCTGCTAAAATGACATTTTACTTTTTAGTCCAAAGTTTGGTGGTACTTTTGGTGGGACATTCGTCCCACCAATTTCTGACAGGAGACCCTATGGCCGGCTTCTCTCTCTCAAGAGAGGAGCCGACCCTACCCAAATCAGAAGCTAATGAACAAAAGAGATAGAAATCTTTAGTCTAGTAGATCTAGTCTAGTACTAGACTAGCCCCTAGTACTTTAGTAGTCATTCTCAATCATTCTGCATCAAGATGGTATTTTTGATCATTTTTACTTTTAGAGTAAAGGAGCCGGTTTTCGGCCACTTAAGACAAAATCCTATTTTTTGGACCCTTTACTTCCTATTTATTATCATTTCTTGTTCAAATCATGAAGCAAATATTATTATTATTTAAACAAAAAAAGAATCCCAGAAAAAAATTACGAATTGCCATGACAATATTAATTTCAATTTTCACTGTTTTGGAGCCGGTTATCGACCTAGCGAGTCAGTTTACGACCGCATGTACAAAGTCAATAGGAAGCGCGCGCGCGCGCGCCGTGCGTTTCCGCGCTGATCTATAGCACAAGCGGGCGGAGCAGGTATCCATCGCCGGAGCTCCCCGGTGCTCGCTTGGTCGAAAAATAGCACTGCGGTGGTCGAAAACTAGCACTGCGGTGATCGGAAATTGGAATTTGAATTAGACGGACATATCGTGCGTGCGTCGCGGTGTTCGGCTGCATTGATTTAATACATGCGATGAGATACTTTTGAGCTTGAGACCAACACAAAATCGGGCTCTAAATCTGAAAAATACTTGAAATAAAGCTCATTTCATGGTACCCATTTCTTACAGACACGCGTAAGATACCCGATTTTTCAGATTTGGGTAGCGGGACCGCCGATTACATCGCTAAAATGTGATATTTTAGGATATATTTTCCATTGCAAATCTGGTTCTTCAGTGACTCTGGCATGGTATAGTATGTGTGGGATATGTGTTATGCTATTATGCGATGTATTTTTAAAGGGATTTTATCATGCATCCAACGGATCGGCCGAAAACTGGAGCTGGTCGATTACCCCCTCCTTTACTCTAGACCTAGTATCCTTTTTAGACATCAACATTTTAGTCTTATTTAGAATGTTCTGGAAGTTTTTACTAATCTTGCCAGAATCTGTAGAATTACCCAACTTTCACTAACAAGAAACCAATCTCAATGCACATAAACAACAAACGTAATTGAACAGCAGGTAAATAGCATCAGCCATTAGGCCCCCTACGTAAAAAACAATATGTGGGGCTGAGTTCACCACAATGTAAATAATCACATGCAAATATTTCTTTAAAATCCGAGTACATACCAGAAGTTTCCAAAAGAATGGGTTTTCCACTGGCTTCCTCATCCATTTCAAATGCTTATCCCGGAACAAGGAATGGTATGTTGACTAAGTATCTTATAAAAATGTCTTTTTACTCTCACAGCTGTCGTCTTTCACATTCCTTATCCAAGAGCCGCTGCCTGCATTTTTTGTCTTCTAAAAAGCTGATCGTGAAATTGTACGGGATATCGATAGTGCATGCAGTATAGTACTGTATTGTGTTTTGTGCAATATATTTCGGATACAGATTCAGCAGCAACGTACGTCATGCATGATGAGGGGGGGGGGGGGGGGGGGGTCATCATTGCTTGATACAAACCAATTTTGATATGATATCTTGCACCTTCTTTATCCTGACAAGTATAATTTTAAACCTGGGACATAGAGCAAATGACAACAAAAGCATTCTCAAAATGAAACCACAATCATATATTAGTTTCAATAGCAAGTACGCCAGACAGGGGCGGCGAACCGTCTTTCAAAGTGGGGGGGGGGGGGGGGGGGGAGGGCACCACCAAAAGGGGGCACCTGCCAAATGAAGCGTGGAAGAAATAATATACAATTTCTAGACATTGTTACATACCCCTACATTGTGATTACATTATCAGGAATGATTTCAATGTTTGTTTCTCTCTTTACATGGTCAAAGTTACCGCTTATAAGCACGATACTTTGCAGTTGGGTGTGATAGTCTGAATATTTATTTGCGAGCAAGCGAGCAAAAATATTAAGATTTGTGAGGTCGTAGTGCGAAAAAAAAACATCTTTCAAAGAGGACAAACAATCCTGATGGGGTTTCACGCACAATCTAATCATGAAAGACTAAAATAATCATGATGTTAGCGAGAATATTAGAATAGAAAAGGAGCACATGTCAAAATAAAAAGGGGAGTTATCAGAGGTGAAAATGGGGCACTGATAAGGAGCACTCACCAGAGATGAAAAAGGGCATTTAGGAAAACGGAAAAGGGACACTTATTACACAAGGAAAGGGGCAATTATCAGAAGATAATTAGCACTAATTAGAAAGGATAAGAGGCACGTGTCAAAATCAAAGGGTCGGATGAAAAGTGACTCTCAATTACAGAGGTAAAATGGGCACATCTCATATTTGAATAAGGGCAATAATCATAGGTGAAGGGGGCACTTGAGGTGGTAAGAGGCACTTATAGGAATTTAGAACGGGCATCTATTAGAAATAAAAAGGAGCACTTATCTGAAGTAAAAGGAGCATTTAAGGGGTACTTCATGCTTGAAACGGTGCCCCCCCCCCCTTGCCCCTCGGATTCGCCACCTCTTCTCTCCTGGTCTTATGCATCGGGTGGGGGGGGGGGACTCTGATTTGGTTTGGACGAGGGTGTGCCGTTCAAGCTTCGAACCCCCTACCCATCATTAGGGGGCATTTTTCTCGAAAACACTAGTAAGTGCCCCTAGTTAGGTACGAGAAGTGCCTCTTTTCACTTTTGATAAGTGCCCCCTCCTCCTTCGATAAATTATTGTCCTGTTTAAATATGTGAGGTACGTGCCTCTTTTAATAATAATAATAATAATAATAATACATTTATAGAGCGCAGAATCTATCCAACATAAAGTATAATATTCTACTGCGCTACAAGAGCTCCCGATATGCTTAGATTTACAGTTAATTAAAAAGATGTGTTTTCAGTTTGGATTTAAAGACATTTACAGATGGTGATTTCCTGGCTTCAAATGGCAAGTTATTCCAGAGTTTTACCTTGACAAGTGCCCCTTTTCCTGTGTAAGAAGTACCCCTTTCCCCTTTTAATAACTCCCCCCATTTTCTCGGATAAGTGCACCTTATATTTTCACATGTGCCCTTTTTCCTTTCTAATAAGTGCCCCTTTTCCTAATGATAAGTGCCCCATTAAAAAAGAGCCCCTTCCCCTTCTCATAAGTGCCCCTTCTTTTCAGATACGAAAAGTTACTCCTTTTCACTTCAGATAATTCACTTTAGTCATAAGTGCCCCTTTTCATATCTGGTCGACGATTGCCCCTTTTTACGTGCGATAAGTGCATATGTTCACCTCTGATAATTTCCCTTTTAACAATATATAATAATATCTTATAAATGCCCCTATCAAAATCTGATGGGGGCCCCTTTTTCGTCGACAAATGCCCATTTCCTATTCTCATGACTGAATTTTTTCTTCCCTGGTGAGTGCCTCTTTTTGAGGGTGTAAGAAGTGTCCCATTTTCACCTCTGATAATTACTCTTTGTACTTTGGCACATGCTCCCTTTCTTTCCTGATAAGTGTCCCTTTTCCTTTCATCATTAGACGCGCTCTAGCTAATTTCAAGCGACTAAGAGCAATTTCCCCAAAAGCTCGCTCGCTACGCTCGCACGCATCTAGAGATGATATAATTATGTAACTTATCAAAGGTCTTTTCATTATTCCGTTATGAGAATGTGCTTATCACCCCATTAGGTTTGGGTTTTTTCCTCTTTATAAGATGTAATTTTTGGCACCGTGACCTCACACATCTTAACATTTTTCCTCGCTCGCAAACAATTTTTTTAGACAATTAAACCCAACTGCAATATCTTGTATCGTGTATAAAGTGAAACAAATATTGAAATCATCCCTGATAATTGTAATCACAATGTAGGGGTTTACATACCAATGTCTAAAAAATTGTATATTTTCGATTTGAGATTTCCCTTTGTAGGTGCCGTTTTGTTTTCTCTCTAGAAAGTGCCCTTTTTTCTTGGTGCCCCCACCCCACTTTGGAAGTCGCTTGGCCGCCCCTGAGTACCCCCCCCCCGGATGCATCCAGAAAAACAATACCAGCAAACCTATAAATCTTGCGTAATTTATATTTCCAATGCTAACATAAACGAGGAGAGCACGCCACGTAAATATCAGTAAACATTCATGTATAAGCTCCCACTTTATATATTGCCTAAATTATGAATAGGCCAATTTTTCAGCAGCATAGTTGTGCATCTAAAAAAATTACGGGGAGGAGGTATGGACAAACATGAAAACTGTTTCCTATGAAGTTGGTTTAATTTGTCTTACCTTTTTTTCATGAAATATGATTGCGACAACATTATATATTTTTGATAGATAGTTTATAGTTCAAAACTGGGCTTAAAACTCACATGATGCTCAATGCATTATGTTTAAATTTCAATGTTCTTTTATATACAATACATGCAAAGCGAATAGTCACACTGTGTCACATTGTATGTACCATGGCACCATGAAGTTGTGTGATCTAATGTAAGTTAACATTTAATATTTCTTTATTCCAACAGTGTATATTCCTTTCTCGCCATCTCATTGAATGGGAGTTGTATTACATGTACCGAGTGAGTCAAAAAAAAGTTTACACCTAGAAAATTGCTAATTATTTTAAAAATAATCTATGAACAGTAAATTAATATACATCTTATGAAAGAGTGTTTTATCCCAAATCATTTGGAACCATTTTTGTGTGGTATGTGTTCACGCTTGGATAAACAGGTGGCATTGTTTGCGAGAGTGCAAAAATCGACTTGCGCCAAAGTGATGCCTACAATATGTATTATGTTGGGATTAGCGGAGTGAGAGAATGGATTGAATGTATCAAATGAAATGCATTGCATATGTTTTTTTGCAAAGGGCAAAGACACACACACCCACATACGCGCGCACAAAACGTTCGCTGATATTTGATATTCGATATTTGATATGTGTGGCATGATTAATTTCGTTAGGGATGTTATTTGGATCTGCAAAGACCGAATTAATACCCAAATCCCAATTGTTTTATTCAAACATCACATAGGCAACTTTGGCGCAAGTCGATGTTTGCACTCTCGCAAACAATGTCTCCTGTTCAGGGGCGTAGACAACGGGGGGGGGGGGGGGATGAGGGGGATGGCATGTACAATCATCCCCCCGGTTTTGGGGAATGATATTTGCTTACTTAATAAGTCATAATGATGATAATAATAGTAATAATAATAATGATAACAATTATAATATTAATAATAATAATAATTATGATGATGATAATAATAATCCTCATCATTATTGTAATTGTGTTTATTGTTATTAGCCGCATTCACACGGTGAAAGCCAATTCAGACGGTAAAAAAAAGAAAATCTTACAAGTATTTTGTGGTTATCTTGTGGTTTGGAAACCACAAGATAACCACAAGATTAAACAGGCGCGGATCTACGGGGGGATGGGTTTAGGGGGTTTAAACCCCCCCCCCCCCCCCTTGGGCGGCCCAAAAAACTAACAAAAAAAAAGGAAGAAAAAGAAAAAAAAAGAAAAAAAGAAAGAAAAAAGAACGCACGCTGGAGAGAAACCCTTTCAAGTGCAAATATTGTGAGAAGATATTCAACTCATCTGGTAACTTAACCAAACACATCAGGGGCGGATCTAGCTTTTTGCTAAGGGGGGGGGGGTTTGACCAAAATAATGACTATGCGGAGCATCGTCCACGAGCCGCGAAGCGGCGAGCCGATTTTTTTTGGGGTGTTTATTTGAACCCCGTAAGTGATGTTTTCCTGGCATCTATTAACACAATGAAGACCATAAAAAGCAGTGCATGATAACGTCTTTTTAAATCAAGTAACAGTTTAATACACAGTTATATCCAGAGTTATCATGTGTTTGGTTAAGTTGCCAGATGCGTTGAATATCTTCTCACAATATTTGCACTTGAAAGGGTTTCTCTCCAGCGTGCGTTCTTTTTTCTTTCTTTTTTTCTTTCTTTTTTTCTTTTTTTCCCCCTTTTTTTTTTTTTTTTTTTTTTGGGCCGCCCAAGGGGGGGGGGGGTTTAAACCCCCTAAACCCCCCCCGTAGATCCGCGCCTGCACATGATAACTCTGGATATAACTGTGTATTTAACTGTTACTTGATTTAAAAAGACGTTATCATGCACTGCTTTTTATGGTCTCCATTGTGTTAATAGAGTGCCAGGAAAACATCACTTACGGGGTTCAAATAAACACCCAAAATAAAATCGGCTCGCCGCTTCGCGGCTCGTGGACGATGCTCCGCATCGTCATTATTGGTCAACCCCCCCCCCTAAGCATAAAGCTAGATCCGCCCCTGAGTCATCCCCCCCCCCCCCCAGGTGTACGAACCTACGCCACTGCTCCTGTTCATCCAAGCGTAAACACATATCACACAAAAATGGTACCAAATGATTTGGGATAAAACACTCTTTCAAGACATATAACAATTTAATGTTCATCGATGATTTTTAAAAAAATATTTAGCAATTTTCTAGGTGTAAACTTTTTTTTGACTCACACTGTAGTTTACATTTATATTGAAAGACATATGCTAACCAGCATCGGCAACGACGCCCCCTTTAGATCATGTTTTGGATGCGTGTTAACCGGGGTGTTAACATGTTTAGCTTCAGTTTTAACTTCTCTAGCTCTGGAATGGTTACGAAGATGCTGACTTTCAAGGGCGAATTATTACTAAAATGGGCTGTGACCAAAGAGAATGATACTCAAGCACAGGATTGTTGGAAAACCTTTCATTCTGCAAACATGGAAAATTGGGGATTTAGCATCAATTGATGATCGTTGGCCCATTCTGCTAGACGACTTGAGTGTGCTCACGCTCTCCGTAGGTTATCGCACAGAGAGGAGTCCATGGGGTCAGTGAAAGTTGTGCTACCTTGCGCTGCCAAATAATATTGGGAAGGATCCGGGATTCCCCGAAATTTGTGGCACAGACACCACAGACTGTATAGCTGTATGCATGTCAGATGATCATGGACGTAGCCATTAACACAGGCATAAGCCCAAGGAATACAGCGCAGGCGCAGGCACCACATATTTTGTAAGTATTATACAAAAGCATTGGAGTCCTTTCAACATGCATAAATTGTATTTAAATGTTAAATAGTACTTCAGCTTCACTAATGATTGTGTGCTTGTCTGACATCAACATCTTCAACAACAAACCTGCATTTATTTGTCAGAATTTGCCATAACATGTAATTTGTCATTGTTACTTTCTTTTTACAGACTTGCTATTATTAAGTAATACATAGAGTCGATCTAGAAGTGATAGAACTAAAATCTGAGGAAAAGAAAGTTTTAATCAAATGCATTTCAAATCCTCCCAAGTGTATCACTGCTGGAATTATATTGTACTTGGCTTCGAGAGCGAGAGGTAAGCATCAACGCTTAACATAATATTTATTATAGGCCTATATTTATTTGTGACATTTTCAACTGAAAAGTAAGGCTAGGGCCAGTAAGGGGGTTAATTGAAGTAGGCCTAGACCTATATAGAATTGATCTATCTTGAATGGGCTGCTAAAAGTACTAGTTTTCTGATACAATTTCTGTGATTTCAAAAGATTTACGCCTGTTATATGTCAGGGTTTACATTTGGTTAAATCAAATCCAAGTAGACTTAAGAATACAGGCGCCTTAGGCCATTCCATGGTAGCTGCGACCATGAAATTCTCAGAATATGCGGTTCTGATATTAGTCTTCTATGGTGATACGTTGAAGAAGATGGAGGAGAAGAAGAAGAAGAAGAAGAAGAAGAAGAAGGAGAAGAAGAAGGAGAAGGAGAAGGAGAAGGAGAAGAAGAAGAAGAAGAAGAAGAAGAAGAAGAAGAAGAAGAAGAAGAAGAAGAAGAAGAAGAAGAAGAAGAAGAAGAAGAAGAAGAAGAAGAAGAAGAAGAAGAAAGAAGAAGAAGAAGAAGAAGAAGAAGAAGAAGAAGAAGAAGAAGAAGAAGAAGAAGAAGAAGAAGAAGAAGAAGAAGAAGAAGAAGAAGAAAAAAAAAAAAAAAAAAAAAAGAAGAAGAAAAAAGAAGAAAGAAGAAAGGAGAAGAAAGGAGATGGAGGAAGAGGAGGAGGCGGAGGAGGAGGAGGAGGAGGAGGAGGGGGGGAGGAGGAGGGGGGGGGGAAGAAGAAAGGAGCAGAATAGAGAAAAGGAGGCAGCAGAAATAGATATTAGTTTCAACTACATTGATTTTTATAAATGTAATGCTCCTGGGAGAAATTTCAATTATTTAAACATATTTGTGGCTTACACCCAGTAAATAAGATCGATTGATCGATCTGTATTATTTTGTCATAATTATAAGGCCCCGATCTACATTTTCACTTCAGGGCCATGCCACATTCACAATTTGTGATTATTTATATCAAGTGTAAATGTAGTTTTGGACCAATTCATATACAAGCAACTAAGGTCAGATATCTTCTCATAGTCAAAGATGTGGCAGAGTGGAGGGGCGATGTACCAATCACATGGAAAGCATATAAAAGGTTAAGAAGAGGTAACATTAAAACTATTATTATTTATTTATTTGGCACTTTCAATACATGTCAAACAAAATATGAGTAAACAAAATATGGCAATAAATTTATAGACACTGGTGCACCCAACAAGGTGGCTGTGGAAGGAATATATGTCAACTAAATAGCCATGGCCCACAGGCTATCCTTCCCACAAGTGCCATTAGAAAGACTTATATTGGTATGCCACAGGTGGGTTCATCATTTTTATTATGCCATGTACATGTATCTACGGCTTCATTTCTCTGACTGAAGCAACTAGCAAATTGAAAGTAATAAAGGAATGGCGTGTGAAAAAGTAATTTGTGTAGTAATGCAATTACAATACAATGGAAAACCAACAAGTTTAGGAAATATCATCCGGATATGGACTTTGGCTTGTCTTCCACTTATCTCTTACAGGAAACTCAAGCTTATGGAATGGATACTGTGAGTGCAAAGCATACTGTACATATGACTTAGGCCTCATATTTATGTCACTAGCCCTAATAATCACAAAGCACATTGGAACCCAGGTTGTTTAAGTTACAAGCTGTAAGTCACTTAAAGGGTTTATGATAAAGTAGTTTAGTGTATGAGGATATATAGTCCTATACCATAATGATAATTGTGAGAACATTGAAGGGAAAGTCCACCCTGATATTAGGTTGGTTTTAATGAAAGAAGACAAAATGAAAGAAACAAATCTGTGAAATTTTGAACAATATCTCATTAAAAATAGGAAAGTTATGAATTTTTAAAGTTGTCATCAGTCAAAAAACAAATTGGCAACACTATGATGTATTTTGCGAGCTTCTTCCCAATCTTTGTGAAATATTGACTTCAGCAATTTATAATGCTGAAAAACAGGTGATTTGTGTTTATTTTGTTTATTTGTGTAGTGAATTTTGTACATGTGTAGCGTTGTTTTTCGTATGTGTCCACGGTCCCAGCACTAGTTTTTGCTTAAACTCCCACCAACCGGTTCCTCTCATTTTCTGCTTCTATTTTAACCAACTTAATATCAGAGTGGACTTCCCCTTTAACACTATGGAGTTGCTGGTACTGAGGTAAAGTACACTGTAAGTGAATTTGATATGAATATAAGGACTATTATCAAATGGTGTCAGGAACAAGAGTGAGTGTGGTATTTGATTGCTCTAACACTCTGTAAAGAAAAACTACAGTAAAATGCAAAAGAACATTGAACTTGCATCCACTAGAAGGGCTCTCGACTTAAAATCTTCTGTAATCAGCATGTGTTATTAGTACCTGTAATAAATATAATCATTGCTCATGCCATCATCGTCATTTTCATTCGAGTATAAATGTAGTTTTGAAAATTCTCTTGTATGACCAATATGTTGAAAAACATGTTTCAATCTAACCAATACTATCTAATGTATTTATGTGGAGGAGACATATTTCAGTTTTGGTTCACTTTTGAAGTTGGGTGGAATATGCTTATTATTATTCAATGTTTAACAGGACCAATTGTATCACATAATTTATATATCTGATATGATGCATTTAAAACTAAAGATAATTTTGTGTGTCATTTTGCTTACTGGAACCTGGTTCCATGTGTAAAGCCTATGGGAATTAGAGAATTCAGGAGTCAATGGGTTAAAGGATATATCTTCTTCATAAAGAACAGACCAGGAGATTCCAGCTGCTCACATGTTTCAAAACCTCTTTCATCATGTGACCTCGAAGAAGTATGTTTTCATTGAATGAGAGTCCTGGAAAGTGTAAACTTGAACATTGACTGTACTCTGAGTCTGAGGAAATGTTTTCATAAAACAACAAGCATGTACCAGCACAGGCGTATCTGATAACCGGAGATCCTTGCTGTATAGTGTCCTAAATTCATTCAAAAACACACTCAAGATGGAAGGTATTCCACCAGCAGATCTTGGCAAACTTGTCAATGCACAGCAAATCGGGGCTGGTTTTAGGACAGCCATTCATACCCCCAGACCTACAATCCATACTCTGGGACAACAGCCTAACTTAAGAGTTGACAGGATGGAATGCAATAACAATTTGAAGTCCACTGGTCAGGAAAATGGGGGGTACTACAAGCAAGGAATTTGTTCTGAGAGTGGTTTTGATTCAAGGAAGGAGGATGTCCCTGGCTTAGAGTGTCCTAATCATGAAAGATGGTTTCATTTTGAGCAAGAAGAACCTCCGAAACAAGCTCGTGTTAACTGTAAATCGAATGGAGGATCCATGAAGGAAAAGAGTTCTGGATTTATGGGGAACATGTCCAGTGATGGTTGTAGTTCAGAGGAAAGTCTGCAGACTGATGATAAAGACAGAACCAAGGAAGACAGGAGTTCTTCGTCCTCACTCAGTTGTGCAAACTCTGCCTACAGCTCCTCAGCAAGCACTGACAATCATTCACTCCCAGCTCAATCAGACCTTTCTACTGCCAGTACCATGATGTGCCCCCAGCCTCTGTTTGACTGTAATCCATCTCTACTCTCATCCCTGCCCCCACAGCCATTGAGACCTGATTCTACAGGCCTAATTTCTTTAAAGGAAAAGTCAAGGAAGACAAACCTCTTGAAAAATGCTTTTTATTATCCAGATACAATCATTTGGTCAGACACCAAGAAGTGTGTGGTACAGTGGAACAAGGAAGGAAAGCTTGGCTTCACCATAAAGAATAAGAAGGTACGTGCAGCTGATTTGCGTCATTAGGCCTGTCTTCATCAGCTTGAGTTTGCTGAATAACCCGCTTTTTTAACTATCCCGATTGCAAATTAACCATTCAATGGTGTCTTCATCACCCTGCAGCTGCAATTTATATTTGGTCAAGAAAATATCCCAAGAAATATTGGTCTGTTTCCAAAATATCCCGCTATTTGGAAAAAACTTAGCAGGCTAATTTATGCCCGTCTGAGCTAGTTTGCGATGAGCGTATCGGTCTGGTAATGGCGCACTTTCGAGCTTTGGGATAATATCCCGAGTCTGAAAATAACAGGTTATTTGGCAAACTGGAGCTGATAAAAACAGGCCTATGATTTAGGCCAAGTGAATTACGTACATGCTCAGTATGCATGTCCCTGGTATGATCTCTTTCTTTCATTTCCCTCTCTCCTCTCTCTCTCTCCCCCCCCCCCCCCCCTTCCTCCCCCCTCCCCCCTTCCCCTCTCTCTCTTCTCTGTCTCTCTCTCTTCCTTGTCTCTCTGTCTCTCCTTTTCTCTGTTGAAAATACGAACATGTCATTGATGTTGTACCAAAATCAATCATTTCAGAAAAGGCCATGTATATCTCATTTAACGTGTGCATTTTCCTTTATCTTTTGCTTCATATACTTATTGCAATACCTTTTTTGTGTTACACCTTTTAGACAATATCCCATATATATATTTAAAAGTGTGTTTGTCACTTTGTAGTGTTGTTATTTGGAGAGAAAACATTTCTGACAAGACCATGGGATAGCAATTATTTAAGTAGCACGTATAGCTGTCAGATTATGCCAAACACAGTGATATAATGTTCAATAATAACAAGATATTTATCAGTCAGACACAACTTTCCTCACTCTTGGGCCTGTTAAATAGATGAACCATAATGAAATGATATATTCAAACTACATGCACGACCGATTGTGGCATAGTGAACTTGTGTACAAAAACATCTGATCTTGCACAATCACTTACATGACCTGATTTTGACCCGGATTGCATGCATGATCCTAACCCGACCTTTAGAATGCAGAATCATTCCAGGGAGTAAAAGTCCTTTCTGTTACATGCATATACATTACATTGTTTTGCCATCTTTTTGTTTTGTAACGATTGTGAAAGTAAAGTTGAAACTTTCTTTGGATTCAATTAATTTCCCATCATACAATCAAAGGAACTTTAATGATACTTTTCAATAATATAGCTTAATTAGTATTAGTTGAAGGACTAAGGGTGAAATATATACATCTATGAAATGCTGTGAGTGACTGAGAATGCTTAAATTGTAACAGGGAATAATTTTCCTGGTATCGCATCGCAATTGCTATGCATTTTTGCATGACTGCTATACAAAATATTTTTGTGTAGCAGTTTTCTTCCATAGAAATGTACAGAATTTCATTTGAAATATTTATCCATCAGCTGAAATTGCTAATCAAAATATTTGAGGAAAATTATTCCCTGTGTAATTATATTCATGCCCAACTTGAACTGAAAAATCTATCAACAACATGATGAGTAATCAACTACAGAAAGTAAGAAAAAAGCAGTGATAACGATTACAAATATAATGCTGTCACAAACTGAACAGTATTTGTTTAATATTTTCAAAGTTGGTGCCATAATATTTGCGATTGATCATTGCATATAGCCCTTATAATTTGCATTTGAATTGACTTTAGTATTTATAAACACATTTTCCACTAGACTTTAGTCAGGAGTATCTCGGGCATAGTATTCGATGGGTTGAAAATGAAGAACCATCAGAAAAGTACCTAATTAGTTGATAGGTCCATTTTTGTTTGTTTGTTTATTTGTTTCTTTATGTTGTTTGGAGGAGAATCTTGGAGAGAGCTTGTATAAATGTTAGATGTCATTCAAAAATAATGTAGAACGATAAATTGTAGATTTTTAGAATAAACAAAACATCTGAAAAAAAAAATATGATAGATAGTATCCTACCCTTCTGTCCCTTGAAGGTATGGGTTGGTAGTGGTAAAATTGCGGTTCAAGGGTTTTGGGTGCAAAATATCCATTTAATATTGTTTAAATATTGCCTTCAGTGGTTTAGATGGCAATACTTCAACCTAAATCCGCAAAAAACAGAAATATATGCACAAATGTTCAATGTTGAAGTGAATTCGCGATATCTATCCAGGCCGGATCGATATGATAATTTACCAAATATATCAATTAGTATAGGCAGTTTCCCGGCAATATTAGTATCATCACGTATTAGTCAAAACATCTTTCACATGATTGGTAATAACAGCTTCCATTTCATTTTTTGAGAGGGGGGGGGGGCATTTCCAAAACTGGCCTATACCTTTAAATGCAGTAAAATGAACTTACCCGCACACAGTCATACACATCCACCTATATCCACCCACCCACCTACATACAAACATGCATAACAACATTTTTGTGAAATTGTCAGATGACATTTATAGTTCTATGCTGTTATTGTACCTCATTGTTAGGGACAAGATGGAAGTGAAGTCTATGCCATGGTTACCTCTTTCATCGGCCCCTCAGCGAAATCAAGTGGACTGGAACTAGGAGACCGTGTACTGTCTATCAATGGTACACCCATTCATCAACAAGTAAGTGCTTTATCTATTTGGAGGAACTGCAGAATTCCCCCACCATGAACCCTAATCCCTAAACTCTAAATCTATCACTAATCCTAACCCTAATCCTAATTCTAAGCCCAACCCTAAACCCAACCCCAACACTAAACCCAACCTTAATTCTAACCGTAACTCCAATCCCAATCCTCACCCTAACCCTTACCCTAACCCCAACATTAACCATAAAGAAAATTTAAAAACTAACCCTAACCATGACCCTGACCCCCACCTTAACCCTAACCCTTACCCTTGTACGAATACATGATACTGAAGCATGATGGGATATTCTGTATTTTAAGTTTGGTAAGCCTTTATTTTTTATCAGGTCTTAGCAAATCATTGCCTGTTGCTACGATGGAGAGACTTAAAAATACTCTCCTTCTATTTACTGAATTCTTAATATCTTCCTCCTAATTTAAGGAAGTTGGGTTCAACAGGCTTATACTGGGACTGCTTTATCCAAATATGATCATAAGCCATATAAAATGAGTTTACACTATTTGTCATTCATCTACACATGTTTCTGTGTAGCAGAACACCCAAGGAATTAGTTTTCAATCTTACATTTAAGAATGCAGGATATTGTTCAAATAATATTGTAGAATGATGTGATGTAGTTTTTCTAACGATTCATTTGTATTCTAAAAATTTAGAGATTTTATAGATGAATGTTGTTATGAATGCATCAATGACTGATCTTCATTGTCGTAAATGGTCTGTAAACTCTTGAGCTTTTGTTGGTGTAGGCTATTGAAAATGCGTTATTACTGTAGAGATCGAAAGCTATTATACCTATTAATACTAGAACTATTTAAGAGATTTCTTTGTTTCGTAAGATGTTTATACTGATCAGGGATTTCATTCACGTATACATCACATAAGGTATATATGTATTTGTCTTCGGGACTTATCTCTCGTAGTACCATTCACAAAAAAATTAATTTTAATCATGGAGTTATAGTCATGCAGTTTCTAAATAATGCAAATTCTACTTGATGGTTTGAATTTTGCAGGTACACTGTTATACCCTCTTTTCTAAAATAGTATGCCATTTGAGTTTGGCTTTATGATTGATTGTAATTAAATTCTACCAATTTTGAACTTCTTGAGAGTAAACATCACTCATTGGGGTATGCAAACTAACTAACTTACATAATTTCATTTTAGTGTAGTTTGCTCTGTATCCTTCATTTAGTTTTTTGTATACTTAAAGGAAAGGGCAAAATGTTCAAGTGTGATGAAAGGGCAATTAAATTGTGTCAGTAATTTCAAACAGACTCAATTTAAAACAGATAGCTTTGAGTGTAATTAAAAACTAACTAAATCATGGTTGAATACATTAAAAACGGTTTCACTTTCAAACATGTATCAGAAGCATTTTGCTTGAAGGACAATTTTAGAGTGTTATTAAAGGAAACTTCACCCAAGAAATAATTTTACTTATCCTGAGAGATTTAGTATATTCTTTCCCATTAATCTACAAGATTCCCCACCAAAGTGTATGAGAGAGACATAAAGCAAGAATATCAAACAGTTTCTCAGCACGACATGGGTATCACCATTTTCTTTATAATGTGACGTACTATGTGAAATGTATTTAAATTTATGGATGCTTCCTTCCCAAGGTGTGTTAGGTGAGCATTTCATTGACCTGGTATTATCCCTAGTGCTACAAATACAATTATTAGAATGCAAATTGCATAAATAAGTTGATGCTCTTCTGGAGTGAATGTTTTTCATAAATTACTTAGATTTTTCAACTGCTATATTTTTGTATTTTTAAATGAATTAGTCACAATTGTTCCTCTGTTATATATTTTTGACCAAGTATAATTTTATCTTCTCAGCTTTGAAGTTTCCTCATTAAAAACTTAAACGTTTTGATATTGATTTTAAAAATCTTTTCAACTGAAGCTTGGTGCATGATACATGTACAAGGTCACCAAGTACGTCACATTTTCAAGAATGTCTGCGTCCATGTTCATGCTAAAAGACATGCCAAGAATATCTTCATTTGAAAATCCCATGTACATTTTGGTAAGGATTATTTTACACCAAAGGGCAGAAATACAACTCATTTTTCAAATTACCTACACTTATTCTTTAGGGTGAGGTTTCCTTTAATTGCAGAGTTATAAGTCTCTGGATTTTTGCTTTAATTTAGCTGAAACAGTAAGCAACAATATAATAAAATAGAATATATGACATTTAAAAATTAAAGAAAGTGGGGGAAGAACATTTCTGTATAATTTGAATTTGTATCTTGTTGATCTCCAAAGATATGGATAAATAACATTGGAATTATATTATTTAAATGTTAGGTGTTGAAGGAATTTTTGTAAATCACTTTCTTTTCAGGCAGCAGCTGGAATATCAGCAAGTGAAGTTTTCAAGAAGCAGAGCCGAGATAGTCCAGTCTCTATCATCATACAGAGACCACAAAGTACAAGAGTGAGAAGTATTGCCAATTCTGTGAAATCTTCTCTGAAAACAGTGTCTAGACAAGGTAGCTTCAGAGATACCTTCGAAAATGATGACAGGCCAATGATGCGATTACCTGATCTGAGATTGGTCATTATGGGTAGCAATTCAGAGAACGTGGCAGAACAGTTGGTTGGATCTGAGATTTGGTCTGGGAGACAGGATGGCCCTATCAGCGAAAGATGCTGTGTGAAAATACAGAAAAAAGACAGAGTCTTTGAGTATCTGTCTTGTAAGTCTCACCAAGTCATGGACGTCTTGAAATCACTTGAAAACCAGAAAGACTGCCATAACGGATCAAACAGCATTCATGGTTCATTGGCTGTCCCAGAGTGTGTGGTTTTGGAAGTGGTGGTGGTGAAGGATTCAAGATTTGCCGATTATTGCAATCAGTTGGTAATGACATCCCATTCCATGTACATTGTTGAATTTGATGGGCAATCATTCCTTCAAGACACCGAAAAACATGTGAGGGAACTCCAAGGAAAGCTGAATAAGATTAGGACTTATGCTGGTTCAGAGTCCCCGGTTTATCTTACTTCAAGCTGGCAGCATTTGTATGCAGACACCTTGGAGTCGGTCAAGAACATTGGTACGCAGCTACAGCAGAGGTTTGAGGAAGCATTTGGAGGACAGCTCCAGTACCATGAGAACTGTCCATGCTTCATGCTCAGCAGGGCATCATCATCTCAGGTGCCTCCATGCAGTCAATGCCAGCACCTAGATGGAAGGGTTGACTTGACTGTAAGGCAGGACCAGGTTGCATCCTCAGTTGTGAAGTTCTGCAGTCAGAGTTCCACATCCACTACAACATCTTCCTCATCTGTGCTTTCATCTTTGAACTCCTGCTCCACCTGCTTCAGTGACTGTGGCCCTGAGGCTTGCCTGAATCTTCTGAGAGAGCACCTTTCAAGAAATGTCTTTGAGCAGAGGTTCTTGACAAGAAAGAACTATCCTCAGAAGTTCCTGTCCTTCAGGGATATTGTGATTGGACTGAGGGATCAGAAGCAGAAGTGTATAATGACATCAGGAATAAAGAAAGAATGTGGAGTTAGTGACAGTGAAGAACTGACTTCTCTCCTGGAGTACCTACACAGACAGGGAGTTATAATCTTATCAGGTAAAATGCTATTTTAATGTTTCTCCCTTGTGAGTGCAATAAAAGATTGGTTCATAAATTTTTATGAAGACACTTGTTCTTTAATCCCATATGAATTTATCATGAACATAATGCCTTGATGTAAAGTATACCATATATTAGCTAGTAGCTCTTTATTTCTTGTGAATGTAAATTTATGTGTACCATTTTGACATCCAGTGCACAAATATGCAGGTACTTTAATGATTTATTTGATTATTTTAATGAATATCGGAGATAATTATTGAAACCAGTACCATACATAAAAAATAAAGATGTGAAAAGAGAAATGTTTGAAGTTGACTATACTTTTCTTTCACAGCCAATGAGAAAGATGAACCGCATCGCTCCTTTGTGGCTCTGAACCCTGAAGACCTCGTCCACACCTGCCAGCGTCTTCTTCAAGTCCCAGACGTGAGTCATCAAGACCAATCTTTACGCCAGCACTGGAATGAACTCAAGACAAAGTCTGTCCTGACCCAACCTCTTCTGACCCATCTCCTTGGTATGGAGTCTGATGCAGCATGCATCACAGCGTGTCTCCAGCAACTCAACCTGATCCATGACTACTCCGCGCTGCCACCAGGTTCCTGCCATTTCTCCTGTGACAGTCCAAGAACAGGGAGAAGAAGCTCTCAGCAAGCCCAGTATCTCTTGCCCTACCATATAAACAACTTGGTGTCTCGTGGTTCAACTTCCTGCAGGGACCTGTCATCAGAGAGAATCCTCCTTGCTGACTTTAAGGGGTACAGCCCTCACGGTCTCTTCTCGAAGCTTGCAATCGAGCTAGGTGGAGTAGCCAGTGAGAGGGATGGAACCTTTGAGCTTATAAGTGAAACATCTTGGAACTTTAACATGGGTGGCAACTATACTGTGTATATGAGGGATGATCCAAGCAGGTGCATGGTGAAATTTATCATAGTGTGAGTATTAGTAACTATCTTTGGGCATATCTGGATAACTATCCCTGGCCATTGCCACTGAGAAACGTTGCTAATCTAGGATAATTACCACCCTGCTAGACATACTGACACATACTCCGGCGACTATTGCTCCATGATAAATATTTTACACTTACCGGTACTGAATTTTTAAACTTTAGCATTGGACCAATCAATTTGCTTAACCCTTACCCTAAATCTAACCTAAAACTCAATTGCTAACCATATATCTGATGAAATAATGCCCATAGCAATTGTTGCTGGACCATGTGTCTGAGATTTGAAACGGGGAATCATCCATCCAAATTTTCCAAATGCCGGGTCCCTTTTTTTTTGGGGGGGGGGGATGTTCTAGTAAATTAGTCATGAAGCTTTGGTTATACCTATCCCATGATAAATACAATGTGGCACAGGGATTTGTGTTGCATTTGGAGTTGAATGTTCTCATGATTAAATTTTCAATTAGATTTACAGTATGAGAGCTATTTTGGTTTATATCTGGACTGCCCTTTTTTTCTAAATTCAGATAGGCAATTTTTTTCATCATGAGTTTTCTCTTCTGTCATTTTGATTTTCAGGTGCAACAAAGGCTTTTTATTGCAGAATGTCCTTATTGCCATACACACTGCTATACTGAAGGTGACGAGATCCAATGACTGCTTCTCTCTTGGGCCACCATGCCCCATGGATCATAGATGCAAGGTATGTCCATATTTGTGTTTTTATCACTCCCAGTATATCTTTCCAGACATAGCTTCCTGTTCTATGCATTTCCCTGATGCCTGATATGTAGTTGTCTATGTATGCCTGCATGTGCAAAAAGGTATAATTGATCTTGCTTGCCAATCTTCAAAAATAGACAAAGTTCTTTATCATACCCATCATACCCACAAAATAAATCGGACCACATGCTCCATGTTTCATTAAACACCATTTTGTTGAAAATTAATCATGTTTCCGTTATTTTTAAAACAATGTTTTTTACTGATTACTTGCATATTTTTACATGGATGTATAGAATCTGTGTATTTATTACTCCCTATACTATCGACTATTACCTTATTTTGCTGCTAATTGCTTGATCATAAGTTTGTTTGTGAGGTCAGGTTTCTCTCTTGATGTAAGCATGCAGCATGATCTTTTATCCATTTTGTCTATAGTTTCAGCGGGAGATGGGTAGCCTTGCCTTTCCGCACATCATTGACCTGTCAAAGGAATCTGGAGAGCGCCCTCTCTGGTGTGGAGATGAAGATGTACGCAAGTTCAAGAATGTTAGACAGTGGATTGTCTCCCAAGGGAAACAGGTACATGAATTGAATGCGATATAAAATGTTCATACTCAAGAAATATGAATACTTGCAGACTGCTGGTCACAAGTGCAGAGTGATTGTTGTCTGAAAAATTTTGGACCCATCACAAAATTTCATTACAATCTGTACATTATCCTTTTTGTGGTGGACATTAGGTCATGAAAGGTGACTCCCCTGTACACCCAAATTGTTACAAGCTTGATGATAGAACACAGTCATCAAACCTTAGAGAGAAACCTTCATATGCTGCAAACTAAAAATAAATTAAAATTTTTGGACGGGACACATCAGGTTGAAATTTTTTTTTTCTTCTCCAAACCTTTATGAGCATTGTTTGCATTGCTCTAACCTTGCCCATCCAGTCTCTATGTCTAAACAAGGTATTTTATCTGCATATATGTACATTGCTTCTTTTCATCCAGGTGTTTAATCTGTACCTGGTAGTATTTTAAAGTCATTATAGTTGCATCAGTGTTGTGAACGTCTGTTAAAAGGTGCCTGGCTGGAATGCTCCGTAGGGGGTGGAGAATGGGCATACATTGTGTGCGGACTAACCTGAATCCAATTGACCAGGATATTGTTATGTCTGTAAAGCAATTAGAGACATGGTAGAAATATTAAGTGCTATCTAAACCCGGAATATTATTAATAGTATAATTCATATTATTATTATTATTATTATGACTATTATGGTTAATATTTCATTTATTATTATTATTATTATTATTATCATTATTATTATTATTATTACTATTATTATTACTATTTTTACTACTATTTATTACTACCTATTGCAGAAGAGAACAGCCCTGAAGTCATCTGGGATGATACTCCATAAGGACACAACATACGCTCACCTTCCTTCTGATCTCATTCAACTGGTTTGTAACAAGATGAATCTATCCAATAGCAGGGGCAGGGATTGGAGAGGATTAGCAGGTAAATGTTACCCTTTAAAAATTTTTTTACTAGTGTGCCTTTTCTTAGTAAACCCCAAGTTGTCACCAGCCTTTCATATGCCATTGTCATTATGGATTTAATTGTACATTTTCCCTTTTCTCTTAAGACATACAATAATAGACATGATATATCCCTGTTCTGAATAATTCATTTAGTTTTGTTCATCAACATTTGTAGTGTAATTAGTTGTTGTCTTGTTGAAAAAATTATTCTGATATTAAGTTAGTGAGATCTTTAAGAACAACTTTTTGTGGAGTTAATTGATGAACTTGTAATGATAACAAAATTCAAATGGCTTTTCCCCTGCTTCCATTGAAAGTGCTGTTCTATGATTAAAAAGAAATTGTGCACATTGTGCTAACACTGCTATGTTTTAAGCAGATGCTTGCATATCATAAGATATGCTTGTGATTATGACCGGTTGTGAAATCCCTCAATTTTCAGAAAAAGAACACCCATGATCTTAAAAACCACAAACAAGATATGGGTAAACCACTAAAAGAGGATATGGTTGGTAGCATATATATATATATATATATATATCCCAATAAATGCAATTATCACCATTCATAGCAATGTTAATCAGTTTTTGTGGTGTGGCTATGGGTTTGTTTTATGTAAAGAGCTATTTTGGGGGATCAATGTTGATAAGATTTCTGATCAACCCTTTTCCAAATACAATATTTATTGTTTGATATATAGGTGAAAACAGGAAATGTCTTTCCCCTTTGTGTCGTTCAGAGTCATCTTTAAAATTTGAACACATTAATTTGCATAACAAAACGATGGGGTCGAGTATTGTTATTTTGATTTTAGTACAGCTGGAAACATGTATGTATAATGATTTAAAGCCTCTCTGCACTAGTTTTGCCAGGAGGTATTAGACCTCCCTACATGGTCACTGACAGGTGGTTATCTCATCAAATCAGCTCTCAATTAACATAACAAAAAAGGGGATCAATGGTTACCAATTATGCATTGTTTGCTATATAGAGGGCACAAGTAGCTGTAAGTAGTGCAGTGGGGCTTTAAAATATGAAATTACCCTTCCTAATCCCCCTCTTGCATATATTTTTTTTTAACCTTCCCTGCATGTCCTCATATTCCCATCCCTTCACACAGGTCAACTAGGTTACTCCACCTCTGATTTGAAGCTCTTTGAAGAGGCTCTATCACCGCACCAGTATTACTATGACCCCTGCAGCCATCTCCTCGAGGACTGGGGTAAGTCTGGGAACGCTACCCTGGGGAACCTGATCAGCAACCTCGAACAACCCAATCTCAATCGCCAGGATGTCATCCTAGAGATCAAGACCAAATGGAAAATTGTAGACAACTAGTCTTCAATTTAACCTGTTGACTACTGAATTATCTCATTCCCATAGGCTTTACACAGGGACCACCCGGTTCCAGTAGGCAATGGGTTAATAATAGGTCATTTAGGTCATTCATCCCACCGCTGCCACCATATAACGTGGGGTTGTTAGCTGTATGATTAGTACTGACATGAAGACACCATAGAGAAACATCAGAGTTAGGTTTCAATCCAGCATGCCTGGTTATATTGGGTATAGAAGAGCCCACACACCACAGTGTACATTAACTGTGTGTATGTGTGTATAGCATGTAGCATTGAGTCAATGTATAAGATCACATATAACTGGAGGCTTATACTTCAGAATACTATTCCCAATGATGCATGGTTATGTGTCAGTTATGCCTCATTAACCTCAAAAAAAGTTATAAGTTTCTTGGCATTTGCCCATTGAGGATATCCATTTCTTTATCAAGAAATGTTCTCTCACTGTGATGTCAGGAAAAAAAAAAGGATTATGAAATCCTATATTTGATTAAGCAATAACTTAGTGAATTAGTTTGATGACTGGTCAAATCTTTGGTAAATGGTAATTCTAATTTTGAAAAATGTATCCTTTCACTTGAAGTGCTTATTTGAACTCTGAAGCCAAGTTTAAGTTTGTTCCAAGAGACATTATCATACATCAGAATGAGTACCCTACACTTCTGTCAAAAACCCTGTCATGATTTCCATGCAGTTCTCAGTAGCTGTGTGACATCATCACTTCCCTTGCTAACCTTTGACCACCTAAAGGATATTACTGCATGTCACATGGTTTGATCCTCCATTGTCAAGCAAAAAACAACAACAAATCCAAAAAGCAAAGCTCTCAGAAAAATATATGTCATGTGCATTTTGCAATAACATTAAGACAGCATCACTTCCCTTGCTATGCTTCATCACTTCCCTTGCTAACCTACCTTTAAGGTTAGCAAGGGAAGTCTAATAGACTAACAGGATTTGTACCTCTTTTGTGTAAAAAATGTGATTGCATGTATTAGGGTTTGTTTTTTCATTGTTATGCCAACATAACATTGCACATTACATCATTTTGCCCAAAATAATGATCAACAGATTCATCTGTATCAAATATTCTTTTTATTTTAACCATCTTGATAAATACAATGAACTTTAGCAGTACTGAAACTGTATTTTGTTTAAAATAAATCTGTCACAACTTGTATAATTATTTTTTAAATGTTTGTTAGGGAGCATGATATGTATCAGAATCCTGACCTAACTTGCAGTATGTGCTTATACACTTCATTAAGTAATGTCTTGATTTATAGAAAAGACAATCATTCATTCTTATACAAAATGTAATTCAGAAGCTGTCATCCAAATGTTTTATTGGGAATGAAATCAATTTGTTGCGATATATACTATAAAATGTATGCTGTATGGTTGCAATTGATCTAAGTTTGTGCCTCAAGTCTATCATATTTTTCTTTTGTGCTTTTTCCTTCACTCAGCATATGTGTGCTATATATACATGTGTATATAAACAAATAGGGGTATGAGAAAGTGATAACACTCTTTTAAAGTATTAATTCCACTCTAGCTGGTTTGATGTCCTTTATTAAAAGTCCATCCTAGCTTCAGATGGGTTTGAATACAGCTAATATGTGAGAGAAATAGCTGACCATTGAATCTTCAGGAAAAAAATCTTATAAAAGATGAGCAATTTTTGTTCTTTAAAGAGAAATTGCAGTGTTGATGATGAATGTACAAATTGACAACACCGTGATGTCGTTTGTGAGCCACTTTCCTTTAATCATCACAAAATTTGACAGATTCTCTCTGAAGAAAGTTATATCTCCTACTTGTGCCTTAGGTGTATCTTTGAAAACATGTTTAAATGCAATTATCAACAAACAAGAAGAAAGATATTTTGTGTGCAATGCACCATGAAACTAGCTTGCAAAGGAAGTTATCAAATTGTTACTTTGTTTCATGATCTTCAAGGTTCTTAAAGGTATAGTTGAGTTTTGTTGCAGAGGGCACTCCACAAAATATTTTTTGTGAGATAAACCGAGTGTCAAATTTGAAAGAACATACAATTTAAATGACAAAATCATCTTTGTTTGATCAAAATCGGTTCAGAGACGGCTAAAATATCCATCAATTTAACCATTTCTAATATTTCTGTTTTATTCAATTATCTTGATTTCAGGATTAACTGACTGTAAATATGTATTGGTTTGCTACATCTTGCCAGAATTTATCAAACAACATGTATATGTTTTAATCATGTATATAATAATATAAATATATATTTTTCATCTTATGTTATGTTAAATGTGTTAATTGCTATACTGTATTATACTGATATGTACTTCATCAATGCAAAGATTATGTATTTTGATATAGAAGCCCTGCTCAGTGATGAATCTATGCCTAGGCCAGGGTGATGCTACTTCCAGGGTTGCCACAAGCAGAAAGTTTTCTGTTAACATGGGTGAGACCATACAAGAAAATGCCTCCCCCCCCCCCCCCCTTTTTTGTTATGCCTCCGCCACACATTAGTACCAGAGGCATTATATTTGCGGGTTGTCCGTCCGTCCGTAATTATTCTTGTGAACGCGATAACTTAAGAACGAATTGAGGTATCATAGTTAAATTTGGTGAGAGTATGTATGACCTTGTAAAGATCACCTGATTGGATTTTATGGTAAAGAAGTCAAAGATCACAGGTCAATTTAAATGTGCTAAGATATTCTGATCATGAGGCATATTTTCGACTGCACAGGGTCAATTTTTTTTCTAGTTTTTTAAAGAACTGATCTAATTGTACCAGTAATAGACAGTATTCTGTAAGTACAGTCAAAACATACTTTGTACCTTTAAACGTGTACACAATGCAGAGTCTGTATTGTGTACATGTTTAAAGGAACAAGTATGTTTTGACTGTACTTTCCAATTAACAGTGTTAAACAAATAACTCTTACTTCTTGTCATGGCAAATACATAATTTCTTTTTCACAACTCTTCAATAGACTTGAATTTGCATGATCCTAATATATAACCGTGTGTCTTGTATGGAGTAGATATATACATGTACATGTGAACATACAGGAGTAGAATCAATTTATGATGATCTAAGTTATAGATTAACTGTATTTTTGCTTTCACTATATATCTACATGTATATCCAGAAAAATCATTTTGGTAACACAAACCTGTGAAAATATGCTGTACATATTGCAATATCATGCTGAAATATGTAAGTTTGAATGGTATGAACCATATTAAACTATATTTAGAAGTATGTAAGTATTCTTTTAATGTGACTCCCTTTTAAAGTTCATTGTCGATCTATGTATAAATGGCGGGGTTAAAGTAAAATGTTATAATGGTTTGATTGGAGGCCTACATAAAGGGAGACCAATTTACTTTTTTCTAGTATACACCTCACACCAACACAAATTGCTACTCACACAAAGAGGAGAGTTACAATTAAAGATAAAGTTGAGTTCTGGTCATGCAATTGCATTGTGAAAGAAACGGTGTGGAACGAGTCAACAAAGGTTCTTCATCTAGCATATAAGTATTGGTGTGTACTGCAAGGTTCTGGAATCATCAAAATGATGAGAAATTCGGCCCAGTCTTGGTAAAGCTACAAGCACTGTACACAGAAAGATGTATATGTAATTTGTATGTTGTTACATGCCATATATAGAATATGAAAGCATTTGAAGAGCCATGCTTTTCAGGGAACATTTGTTATCTGATGTTCTTCCACACTTGCATAAAAACAATGATAACGTTCACAAAATATTTTTCACCTTTTGATCCCAGAACTCAACCTCTTTAAACACGATCAAGCATTTTGATGTAAAACTGCAGGGAAAAAATGAACCATACAATCATTAGTGTATTCATTTCAAATTTAATAACTTTATTGCAGTCAAAAGCATCTCTCAATAATCCACAAGAATTGGATGATAATAAATATCAAAGAAAAATAATAGTCTATGAAGACAAATATGTTAAAAGGTCAATTCATTACACCTGAGAGCTTTTAAACATAACTATATCACTTCACGTAAAGATAATATGTCCCTTTTGCAGCCAACATCAAATTATGTAGAACTTTGCAGGAATTATGAATATGTCATGTATGTCCTTTCTGTGAAATTTAAACGTCAGCAGTGTCCTAATATTCAAATTAATAGTCGTTATTTTCCCACTTAAAGAAATTTCAAGCCCCCCCCCCTTTTTTTTTTAAAGGGAAGTCCTTAATCAGTATTATTTTTTTCAAATGCCGTTGGAATTTAACCTTTTCCTTAGTTTGGCCTGCACATGGGACATAGTACCTTTAAATAATTCAAAAGACAAACATGTGATTGCCAAGAAACACATGCACATACTGTACATATTTCACGTGTTCAATATTTCAAAGTTATTTAATATCATTAAACAAGTAAATCATTTCACTTAAATAACATTTCAAAAGGCAAACATGCGATTGCCAAGAAATACATGCAAAGAACAACATGCCCATAATTATTATATATACATATTTCAAAGTTATTTTATATCGTTAAATTATGCAGTGTGAACAAAAATCTGTAGATTCAATATTCTTATTTTTAAAATAGAGTAATGAGGAAGGGTGTTGAAGTTAAGAGGCCGTATATTATGCAAAAGGTATACTCTCTAGCTATGTTGTTGGTTCAGTTGGTTCAGTTGCAGGAGTCGTAGGTGTAGTGGGTGTTGTAGGTGTGGTAGGAGTAGTAGGTGTGGTTGGTGTTGTAGGTGTAGTGGGGGTAGTTGGTGTTGTCGGAGTTGTTGGCGTTGTAGGAGTGGTTGGTGTTGTAGGAGTGGTTGGTGTTGTAGGAGTGGTTGGTGTTGTAGGAGTGGTTGGCGTTGTTGGTGTGGTTGGAGTCGTTGGTGTTGTTGGTGTGGTTGGAGTCGTTTGTGTTGTAGGTGTTGTGGGAGTGGTAGTGTCATCCTCAGATGTGGCGGCCGTGGTGGTGGCGTCTTCGTCGGATGTGTCACAATCAATTGCTGTTGTTGCTTTTTCTGTTATTGCTGCCTTGGTTGTAGGTGGCTTGGTTGCAGGTGGTTGTGGGACTATGTGTACATGACCAGAATTAGATCCAGAATTAGATCCAGAATCGCTACCAGAGAAGGAGCCACTGCGACGGAATCGTAGATTAGTTTCTGCAAATCAATGAAAACAAAGTTCATGTCAAATATCGTTGACATTACACAGAAACAACATTTGTTGATGAGAGGAAGATTTTCAGCAGAACCATCTCGAACAACATACATGTACGAATAACGACACTAGTTTACTTCGATAATGTCTACTTTTTAAAACATCGTAAATAATTAACATCGATGTTTGATACACGTATGTCATTCTTAAACAAATTCTCAGACTTAATTCAGACAGGAGTTATAGCAACTAAATTACTGTTTGGAAACAAATTTTGTTCCTTGTTATTTCCCTACATTTCATTTCATTGAATTGAATTTATTTATTTCCACATCAAGATAAAAACAAACTTATACAATCTTCAACACAAGCATATATGATGAGATATCTGAAGTGGGAGGACTACGAAAAGCACATAGATGGCTTGTGAAAAGTGATCCGAACCAAATATACAAAATAACAATAACTTAACAATACATAGTTTACACACAAAAATCAAGATTTAAGAAAAAAGGGAAGATAAATAAAGTAGAGAAAAGAAGGAGGAAACATTCCATAAACATTGAAATTATAAGCAGGGGCAGCGATTTCTTTTCATGACCGGGGGACGAAATGCGAGGAAATACAGATTTTCTACAATATTTATTCGTACATTTTGAGAGATATCATGCGAGGGAGCGTATCGACCGAGCGAGAAGATTTTTGCATTTTTATTAGTCTAAACGCTGCACTCTTGGGCCCTCCAGAGCCTAAAAGTGTGTTGCAGTCTTTGGTCAGTATTTGCTATACATTTTTTGTGTGCACTTTTTAAAAAATTTCGGGGGGGGGGGGACGAAAAAATTTTGACCCCGGGATCGCAGCCCCTGATTATAAGTTTTAGAATTTTCAGTTTTTCATGATGATGAACAATCGTCTCCGTAGATACGACAAATGTATGACTCGTATTCCCTTACTGTTGTTGCACTTACCTATATCGAATCGTACAATTTTATTTATTATTTCTCTACTCTAATGAATTAACCCTTTTCTGTTGTACTCACCATCGCAGTAGGTGATGTCAAATGTATCTGTACCAAAGCATACGTGATCGAGCACATTGCAAGCTGAGCCGAATCGCTGCCCATCCGCGTCACAGAATTTATCCTTGTGTGCTTCTCTTAGATAATGCGACACCATGACGTCACTCGTCATCGACATCAACGACGTGCTCATCATCAACTCCTTGTCGCAGGTGAGGACGTCCTCGGGCTTGAAGTGAGGACAGAGCTGTGACAGGTAGCAGTCGATGACGTTTCTTGCGGTGCCGCATCCCAAATCGATGGGGTTGGCTGGAAGGTGGGAATTGGAAGATTGTGATGGAGATAAAATCGAGGGTACTATCTTAGAAACTTTAGCTTTCAACGTTCAATTCAATTCAATTTAATTCATTTAGTTATTATTTTCCTCATTTGATTGTTCATATTTACAATGCTGGTACATTTTAACCATGGAGCTATAATACCTCCATGTTTTAACATAATACATATACATGTAGATCAATTTGCACAATACAATACATCAACAAATTTCAAAAACGTTATCAAAATCTTCTGCTAAAAATATGTTGTACATCGAAATATCAAGTCATAATATCGAGGGCACGTACTCTCTTAGTAACTTCAGCTTTCAACGTAAACAAAACCTTCTGCTAAAAATATGTTTTACATCGAAATATGAATCAAACTTTATCCTTTCTGGATGATTTTAAATACATTTAAAATGATGGTGATGAAGGACTAAATCGTTCATGTGGTCTATAGACATTCGGCATATTTTTATATTAGATTTTCGTAAGTCAAAGCATGGACCTTGATCAAAGCAACGATTTAAAATATTCTTACCTGATGAATACAGTGCCATGGAAATGCTAACAAAGACAGTGGCAACGAAAGTGACCTTCATCTGAAAGAAATGCGTCAACATTAAGAAGTGTTATGATAAACATAGGATACAATCAATTTTAGAAACGAAAACTTTGAAAATGGATGGTTGAAACAGGAATGAATTTACATGAAGAGCAATTTCTTATAGGGTAATAAACAGTTTAGGGGCTTTAACATGGAATTGCAGTTGTCTTGCAAAAATAAATGTATAGGACTTATCGTCATTTTCTTAATGCGTTTACATAATACGATTTAAAAAGTAAGGGAAAACCTTGTCATATTTCATTTTGACGATATATCAGTGACATGTATGAACAACCATCATTTTGCTTGAAATTTAGCAATACGAGAGCATTCAAAGACAGATTTAAGCACATTCCAATAACCTCATAAACACTGACAGTTTCATATAGAAGTGTCGTAAGTTATACCTTTAAATAAAACTTATGTAAAATAAAATTTATTCAAAATTTCAAGAGTTTAATGATGCGTATCAAGGTTAAACATTTTCATTTCATTCAAAATCGATTTTTTTTTTCCCCTCCACGTATTAATGAAGTACATTTTAGGGAAACGAAAAATAGAATTGGAATTTTTTTTCCCTTCTAAATAGTGCGCAAAAAACACAACGTATTATAAATCTGTATTGTCGAATATAGAGAAGTAGCACTACTCACCTTGTTGATGTGGTTTGTTTCTTCCTTCGTGATGAGCAAAGATGATCAGGGGGAAACTACTTCAAGTATCTTGTCGAATGAATTCATACCTCTCATATTACCCATATTTATAGCAAACATATTGCAAGAGACAATGTGGATTATATGTTTAGTTGAATTCAATTAACCGCATTAATCTAATAATTCTTAATAACCTGCAAAAATAAAAGAATCTACCTGTCTCACTATTAGTAAAGTCATATTGTAAAGAGAATTTGATAAAATATGATTTTGTAATGACCATTGCGAAAATCTTAATCAATTACCATACAAATAAATGAATTCATTAACTGATTAAATAAAATTCATGCGAGAATTATACTTCAACCTGTTACCAAAACATTTAATAACGTAGAATGTTCACTGAAGTAGCATATTCAATTTCGATCTTAATGATCTAATAGCCATACCCAATCATAGAATTTATGCTATATTCCGGCAATAATTATGTACCTGCTGAAGCGATTGTATATCCATTATTCCATTAACCGGTGGAACTTTAGGATATGAAATGTTGCCAGAAAAGAATCTTGCGCCTTACGCCTTAACCAAAGAAAAATTAAACAGGTCGTTATTCAGAAATGTCCACACTGAACGGTTAAAATAACGTTTTTGTGAAATTGACTTCAGTTGGTCGTGAAAGCCGTACAATTATTATGTTTATGCTTTTCTGATTTTTCATCGATTTATAGTTTGCAACATTAAAGATGTGCCCCCCAAATGAGAAGTAGGCAAGCATATAATGTGACAGAGATATAAATAATGAAGTGAATAGTTGGATAGATGGATGGATAGAAAGAAAGATAGATAGATAGATAGATACATACATACATACATACATACAAAGTCTGATGGCAACATGGATGGTTATAAAGACAGAGGCAATGGGAGGAAGACTTATTGCATATTTGCAAAGAAACGGAAAGAAAACAGACAAACAAAAGAAAAATGTAAAAGCAATGACGAAAGGGATCAAGAGCGCACAATGGGGGGGGGGGGGGGTGATTGGAAAAAAGTTGGAAAATGAAAGAGTGTAAAGGGAGGGGTTTAGAGAAAGAGAGGATGATTGGTATTGAGAGAGAGAGAGAGAGAGAGAGAGAGAGAGAGAGAGAGAGAGAGAGAGAGAGAGAGGGGAGAGAGAGGGAGAGAGAGAGAGAGAGTGAGAGTGAGGGTATGGGAGGAGAAAGAAGAAACAATGGAAGAGATAAAGAGATTACTTTACGTACAAACTGATATGATAATTATCGAAAGGAAGTGGCCTGGAAATTAATATTCTAGACAGGAAAACTCACAATTTCGATCAATATCCGTTACAGAACAATACTGTTCTATAAAGATATTTTTCTATCTAACGTATAGCAATTTTCAATTTTTTAAGAGGAGATGAATTTTGTTTTTATAATCAATACCACCATCAATATCTTGAGAGCTTTATTTTCATATCGCGTCAGCCTTTCTTACCAGTCTTTAATATTAAACTTTGTTGCCTTATAATCATAGTCACCATGTTATCCCAAGAATCATCATCATTCTCGATAGTATTATCAACACAATCATCATTATCATCATTATAATCATCACCATCATCATCAACGCTGTAATCACCTCCACCACCAACGCCACCACTAGTTACATCTCCATCATCACGATAGTTAATATCGTCAACAATATTGAACCACCAACACTCAAGCTTTACATAATGATACAAAACACAGACATTCGTATGTCTCAATCGAATGTTTCTAAATGAAAGGTGAACTTTCAATCAAATTTATTTGATCCGTGAATTGATATTTGTTATACAAAATAATAATACCTCATTCAAAATAATAAATATGGAATTATATTTTAATGTTACACTTGTTTTGATAAAGGCATATGTAATTCAGGATCAACTTAAACCCTGTTTCAATAACACGAACTGAAACAAAGAGTGTGAATCGAACATAATAATATGTGCCTATGTTCCTCTTTAAACTAATGTTAATAGCCCTGTACTACACAATTCAGAATCAACTTAAACCCTGCCTCAATAAAACGAACAAAAACTAAAAGTGTGAATCGAACATATAAATATGTGCCTATACTCCTCTTATGTTAATAGTCCTGTACTACACAATGACAATAACACATCGTTCATTGTCTGCCCTCGATTGCATGCATGCTGGAGTACCATTGAGACTTCAAGAGAGTATGAGTATCACTTTCGACGTGAATCAAAACCTTGCCCTTGAAATACTGAGGCCGCTCAGTGATAACTTTTCTGTTTGACTCTGTTAAATTACTCACATTACATATTTCTGACACATGATTTTTGAGTAGTTATTAATATCTCTTGTAGGGTGTGTGTGCGCGCATGCGTTGATGCGTGTGTGTGTATGTGTGTGTAATATAGTGTGTGCATTTAGGGAAGGTGTGGGCTTGCCGGAAAACTAAAGAATAACAACATGCTACTTGATTCAAATGGCAATAGACAGCGACATCCTACATACAATAGCAATATATATGGGCCTCTCTCTCTCTTGTGTGGAGATGATTAACGACAAGAAACTTGATTCAATAATAATGATAATAATAATATTGATAATAATAATTGAACTTAGCTAATATTTTCTTCCAGTGAATGAAGGCGGAGAGAGATAGGAGATCGATAAAACGTGGGAAAGTAAAGGAAAGATATATATAGAGAGAGAGATTGTTAAGAGAGAGAGAGAGAGAGAGAGAGAGAGAGAGAAAGAGAGAGAGAGAGAGAGAGGGAGAGAAGGGGAGAGGGATTGAGTGAGAGGGAGATTTCATACGATAAAAAAATAAATCGAAAAATAAGCCATTATGAAGGTTCACGGAGACTCACGAAAATTATCAATGTATCATGCAAACTTGATTTCGACGAGTGTAATACCTATTTTGTTTATGACTAACCAGGAGAGGGCACTGTAGCGAAAACTGACTCTCTGTCGTTCACTCTGACCATGGTTACAGTACGGGCAAAAATGCGGCTTATATAATGGGATGATTCAATTTGAAAATTCAAATTGACAATTACACGCAAGGGCTCACAAAGACACAAGTACTATTGAGTTAAACAATTAAGATTAGAGTACGTAAACATACAAATCAAGGATAGGCCAAATGATGAATTGAAATAGATGTCAGAATTTGAAATTGTGTACATTTATTATCAGTGTTCTAGTTAACGGTGATTAATATGATTTGGCTTCTTCAATTTTCTCTGATCTTTTCTTAACATTTTCCTTTTCTATTAAATGCATTTCAAAGGGCAATCCAACCCTTCTAATAAGTTCGGTGTATGAATTAATGCTGAAAATAAGAAAACAGAACGGCGAGAGTTTGAAATAAATCAGACAAACGATGAAAAAGTTATGAATATTCGAAACAGAAGGTCACAAATTATATGCGAATCTCAAATTGGTAGTTTGGTCAGTGGATTGTGACGCACTCACATAATATAAACTCCCCCGTTCGTTAATTTCTGTTTTTCTCGAAAGTGCCTTCTTCTTTGAGGCACTACTCAAAATATATCATGCATTTAATGTTGTATAAGTATAGCTCCTTTATAGAGAAAAGACCCTCCTGAGTCCTGACTCATACACTTTTAAAATAAAATGAAGTTTTAGTGATTTTAGGTGTTGAAACAAATGGTAAAGTTGTCCGCCACTACTTCGCAGAGATATTCCCGATTCACTTTTTTTAATTTTCGTTACTTTCTCATTTGTTTGTCTAATTTCATTCTGATTTTTCTGCATTCTGCATGGAGTAGTTTGCTATCAAGGTTGGATTTCCCTTAAATGTATCTTGAAACTAAACACAGATATTTAAGGCTCCTCAACATATGGAAATCTAAAGACATATCAAATGAAACTTTGAATGCATGTCAGAAGGAGTTTCTTCCATGAATTAAACGATGAATCAAACACAAAATAAAGGAATGAAAGATTTTTTGTTTAAAACAAATCACTATTAAAACTGACTGACTGACTGACTAGCTAATTCACTACTTAAATAAGGAAACAAAACATGGAGATAAATAATTGAATAAATAAATAAATGAAACAATCAATGAACGAACACATATAGAAATAAATAAATAAATACAAATAAATAAATTGATAGACAGGCCTAAATAAATGAGAATCAAACAGCACTTTGTTGCACTGTGTCCTTTTGAAAATCGCAGCAAAAATAGTATGATTTTGTTTTGAGTAAAGAAGTGTGCCAAGCCTTGTTTTATAAGGCAGTCTGCTCATATTGTTTGGGTGTGGTGCATGTATCAAAGTAAGCCTTGATCTCATTTTGTTTGTAAACAATATTACTGATCCGTCAACATTTTGGCAGTCATTATACTTGTTATGCATGCATTACACAGTCGAACTTGACAAAGCGAATTTATTGTTCAATCTCATTTGGCTCAGGTCGTAATCATGATTAAGAGGAAATGATTAGATAGCACGGCCAAAATCGAAAATTATAGTTCATCAGGAAAATAGAAACGTGACGACATAAACGGAGCGTTCAATACAATATTATAACAAGTGTTTTCCAACTATGAGATAATCTTTCCAACTGTCGATGCCTGTACCTGTCATGGCAGTTATCAGTTCAGGGCTTAATTCTTCACCCCCCCCCGAAAAAAATAAATAAATAAATAATAATAATAATACAAATTAATTAATGAATAAATAGATTAAACAAAAAAAGATAACACAAAAACAAAATCAGAAAATAGCTGACCGAATCAGCACAGCATAGTTTGGGTAAACAGTACATCCCAGTAGACCGACAGCCCATGAAATTGGCAGTACACCTGTCGGTCTAATGAACCTTTCAGAAAGTCCGTGAAACCGACATTGTGTCGGTCTCATGGGCCGTCGATCTTGCAGAATTTGTGATAACTTAGAAAGCCCATGAGATCAACTTTACTGTATAGGTCTTGGGAAATTTAGCCGGGGTAACGGGGTGAATGCAGGAGATTCATTGAAGAGCAAAATCATTATCCTAAA